ATGTGATATGGTAACAGAGCTAGCGACTCGTCTAAATTAGAATTATAAACATTAAAAATGAGGGCGAGACCGGAATTTTTCATATCAAACAGTACCTACCTATCAAAGAACAACCCGTAAGTAGAATATAACCTTATTTTAATCTCTTCATTACGATGCGATACACGATTGACAATTAAATCTTATAAATTAAACAATTCTTAACTTTAAACAAGCTGATTTTATATGCCAAATAATTTTAGGGCGATGTTATACTTGTAAGTATTTGACTGAAGGAAGCAACCAACGTTTTCTGCAGAACGCTAAGCTTTATAATACATAAGTCATTTTACTAATTGAACTCAGTTTAAATATAGTCAATATATCTCATAATTCAACAAAAACAAAACAAAAGTAATGTAAAAGTTGCTCGTAGAGTAGATTCCAAATCAAGCCGAATAAGTCATGATTTTACGTATGTCGCTTTTAAATAAAAAATAAGACTAGCAAAGAAACGAACTATACAATTAAGACATTGATAAAAAGTAATCATTACCAATAATTAACGCACAGCAAATACATTTAAAAATGAAGGGCAAACGGAATAAAAACGCACGTTGCTCGTTTTCTAGAGCCATGAATTGTTTTAACTGCTCGCATGAACATGCGATCGCATCCGCGTAAGATACAATGAATGTTCATGCATTCATTGCATTTTCTTATTATAAGGTAACAGTCGAACTAAATTAAAGAAAACTAAAATGTCTTAACATTTGCATAGATTATTTCAATTTAATATAATTATGTCGATGTACTAAATATGTGCGGCCAAGGCAATGCCTTAGCAGACTTTAACATACCGATAATGATGCTAATACGTATGTTTGAATTTAATAGGACTGCGCATCGCGATAAACGAGAAGTTATTACTTTATAACGTTCCGCTCCATGCAGTCGTACGGTGCAGACCTACCTGGGACGGACGCTCCATGCGACTAATCCCAACGCTTTTCTATGTGCTGCGTCAATAGCAGCGTCGATCGCTTGCTTGCCGTTGCGGTGGAAGATTCCCGTACTTGTAAGTAGAGTGACATACACATTTCTCGCCTCATAGGCTAACTTCTTGTCACGTGGGCGACAGCTAGGCACTCAACCCAGCGCACCTAGTAACGTTATATATTAATCAGGCCTAAATTTAGTAAGCATAAATCACACGTCCATTAATATAGCATAAATTAAACAAGCCTTGTGGTGGGGACGCTTATTTAATTTTACTCACCACCATCTGCCCCAAATGGGGGATCCATTTGGGGCTTATGGGGTTAACTGAGGCATAAGCGAGCAACACCTCCGACCTCCCGCGACTGCCTGGTGCTAGTCGCCTCAGCAGCCTCTCCCTCTGGAGCAAATCCCTCTTCCTTCAGATAAGGCATGCTGAAATATTCAATCGCGGTACGCCTTTCTAGTCGACCCCTTTTGCACAGCTAATGAACTCCCCAGAGGCCAGGAGAGCCAGTGCTGATAAACTGCAATCTTTTTAGTCACCATTGGTGGCCCTAGTTTGTGACTCCACCACACACCACGTTTTGGCCATTGAGAGTAGGGAGAACGGCGTATAGCAATCCTAATTCCTATCGATCGATATCTTCATTAACGATGCACCCCCGCTGAGTCGCGGAGGAAAGAGAGAGTTGCGAAAAAAAAAAGACAATACCAATATTCCTCTTACCCTGCACCTCCACCTCGGTTGCAGAAGATAAGAACGGCTGCTCTACTACTTTCAACTCGCACATCCCCCGAACGCATCCTGATTAAGCGTAATAAGCCTACTCGAAGGGACCCTCGCGATCGGCCTGAGGCTGCCCCAACACATGTTAAAACATACGAAACAGAGCCGGGTTCATTATGGGCCCGCTTAATTAAAACGCACACTTTTCTTACACAAGGCTTGCGACATATTATAATGTTCCTATATGTTCTTTTCTCACATAAGGATAAGCCCACAAACCTGGATAAAATTCTAGTAATTAAAAATAACTTCATCCGCCTTGCTATCTGTACTATAAGCATAACGACGATCTGGATAGCTATTGCAGCCTCCCAACGCTCCGCGAACATCAAATGGTTCATCGAAAACCATTCCAACCCTCAGGTGGTAACGAAGTACCATCCCAACATATACGCCACCGTTTACCAACGTCGCCCGCGGAACGTCTACACCGACCACCGGAGGTCCCGCTAGAGAACACTATACCCCCCACACACAGTGCTAACACAAAACCAATTAGGTCATCTTCGCATATGAGCACGGCGAAACCAGCACAACGTACTCTACAGCCGGTTTGAATGTTCTATCTACAGATAGATCTGGTTACTAAAAATGGGTATTTTACATTAGCTCCATAATCTTCAGTCAAAATTCTATCTACAGGTACCGATCAGTAGATTGAATACTAAATCCGGCCGTAAGCACACCTGCGTTCCGGGACGGTTCTCGTCGCCGCAAGCCACTGATTGATTTTTAATACAATCATCGGCCATCGGGGTCATGGTCCATACCGTACCTCGATGTCCAGTAGGCGACATAACTCCTGATAACGCCCGAACACATGCGTGGCTTTGCGCAACGCGGAGGGCCGGATCAAGTCCGTGAGTTCTGGCTCGCCCACGAGTTCTACGTTCGACTAAGCTCAATGCTAATCTAATAATCTACGAACTGAAAACAAATATATCAGATAAAATAAAAGTACACAGCATTATTATTATTATGAAAGAGATGGGGCATATGCCAAGTATCCTGTTACCATTGTGTTTTATGTTCGTAAATGTTGCTGTGTGTTAGTGTTTGCGTGATCGTCATCTGGATGTGTATTGTGTGTGGTTGGGAATTTGTTGTATTATGTACATATACTCGAAAAAAAAATATACACAATATGCATGGGAAGGCCATAGAAAATAAAACAATCATAAAATAGGGATACTTTAATGATGTATTGAATGTGTTCTACATAATAATTTAAACGCTTAAGACCAATTTTCACTCAAACGCAATTTAAAGAAACTTAGTCACACTTTGATATTAACGTAGAAAATTGGGCTTAGATCATGTAACCGTAATTATTCTTATCTAACTATGTATATGGAACCAAATGAACACTAAAATATTGTAGTTATACTGATCCCTTAACATGGCTGTGAAGCACTTTAGACCACACAATCATTGATGACATTTTCATTAGTATCAAAAAAGCTAGCCATTGCTTGTTCGGTCCACATATGTATCAAGAGTAACTGCGTGTAGTAATGGACGTGTGAATGATATAAATTACTACATACACTTTTATCATTAGCCGTTCTTATTAATACACTCAGTTCTTAATTCTACAGAAAACTGACATGTTATTGGTATGTACTAGGTCAGTCAATCAAAGAACGCCTTGAAATGAAAATTGAAAACAAGTTTAAAATATTAATAATCAGTTTGTAATAAACCAATTATCTAGCTACGTTCAAGCTTTTTCTTGTACATAGATAGATCCTCACCGGTTATATCCAGCACAGAATATATTAGCACCTTGAAGTTTTGAGTGGGACTGAGTCTAGACGGACGTTTGTTACCTGGTGTATGTGGTTGGTACATGAAATAGTACTTGAATCTTTAAATTACGTAAACAAGAAGGTTAAACAAGAAACAAAGCGCTGATGAATGATTATTCACCTGATTAATTACGAGCAAAATATATCCTGTAATTTGTAATATATCGCAGTTTTATGTGCAACAATTTTAAATTTGTAATTTTACTTTAATTGTTTGTTTGTTTGTTTTTATACTGTTTGTGTTACTTGAAAAAGAAATGAATAAATAAAATAAATAATTTGAAATATGGACAACCGATAATTAACAGGTCACACTTGACAATCTATTGACACCCTCATGTCAAATCAAATCCATAGCGTGAGCAATCCATTAAAAACGCTAATATATACGAGTATTCGTTGGAAGCCATCCTTTTCTCAATCATGACTTAAATACTTATAGGTATTAATTTTCAAGGCATTTTTTCAAAACCTCTGCTTTGTCAAATAGACCTCTTTTAATTAATTAAATGTAAACTTTATTTAGTAATATTTTAAATGTGGAATTTAAATATGGAAATTTTTATTGCGTTGTAAGTTGAACTTGGTGGAGGTGGCTGAACTTTAATTTTTCCCGTCTCATATACCATCGAGCTAAACAGCAAACCGTCCTTGGCACACGAACCCAAAAAAGGTCATTCAGACACGCTAATAGTTATTTCACGGTCATTCACAGCAATCACGTAGTCAACCATTCGAAAAGTTAATTAATTTAAATTAATGGTTCCATGTGATGTATATGTAAATTTCGTTTTTTTTAATAGAAGCTGTATATCGAATGTACAATGTTGCTAAAATATTTATAAAAGGAGTATGGACTTTACTGGATTATTATTGGAATACAAAAAGAACATAACATTACCGAGTATAAAGAACAGCTTAGTCAATCACTACATAATATAAAACAAAGTCATCCCGCTGTCTATCTATCCCTATGTATTCTTAGATCTTTAAAACTACGCAAAGGATCTTGATATGTTTTTTTTACTAGATAGAGTGATTCCAGAGGAAGGTATATATGTTTTCTCAAACCCATAAGTGAAGGATCACTTATGGGTAGAAAAAAAATTAAACACTGTATAAAATTCAATGTATAGTGAATATGCTTAAAATAATAGGGAGTAATTGAAATCAACGCACGCTCCTAAGGTTTCTACCGGATATAGACTATTCAAAACTCTACAGATTCTCATGGCCATCTCAAGGCTGACTTGACTGATATAAGAATGATATGATAACCAACAATTATCCGCGAAGACATATTTCATGTTTGTATTTGTCCACAGCAGGCAAGCAATCATACGTTGAGAATATACCGACAATATACTGACTTATTGTTAGTATTGGAAGCTCGTCTACAGAAGGCGTAAGCATAAACAGACGAAATGACGCAGTCATGGAAGCAGAATGCGAGCTGTTGCATCGGAGCACTTGGAGACAGAAACGAACAGCCCGAGCTGTTCTCGAGGTCCTGGTGTGGTGGGCTCTCAGCGCTGTACTGGCGAGTGCCGATCTTCGTGTGGGCACTGACCACAACAATCTGGTCTATATTGTGCTTTTGGGGCAGCACCGACAAGTTCTTACTGTACATGACGCACTGGGGCCTGTTGCTGATTCTAATAGAGTCTTTCTTCGGCATAATCGCAGCTGGAAAGAATTACTGTGAACTTTCAGGTAAATGGTATTCACAACTGTCTTTTACTTATCATAGATTTCCTTGTAGACCATTTCCTTTAGTGCCTAAACCAAAACCCCAAAAACGTAGCAACGATAACCACTATTAAGTTGAACCAGTTTTCGTTCAAGAACCCTTTTACCCATACGTCCTTAACGCCTAACGAAAAATACTAAAAGGTATACACAATACCTTTTGATAACGATGTATTATTTATGAGTGAATATTCGTGGCGATTCCCAACGTTTACCGCTAATAATATAAGATTTTCTGCATTTGAATAGTTGTAGTATATAACGACACTCTAGTTTGTTTTTATAAGCATCATAATCATCATTTTATTCGTGAATTTATTTTAATCTCATTTAATTTTTAAATGTATAAATGATTAGGAACTAAGGTAATACTTATGGAGTGGGCAGTGATGACTATTCCTGCCCACATTCCACTAGTAAGCCACAATTCTTTAAACGTCGCTTAACGCCAGGTTCAAATCTATAATCCAAATTGATTTTTGCGCATGAACCATCAAGACGTTTAATACTGAGATTATATTATTATATATTTAGATTAATTTAATTTCAGAGTTATCATCCAAACTACATCTGCCTTCATCTAATACAAATAATTACGTTATATTATATTGTCCAACTAGCATCCGCAAACCTTCCCATTAACAACCTTTGAATCATAATTTCGCTTTCTTGTATAATCATCATGTGATTAATTGTCAATCCATATCTATCACGCAAATAATTTTTTATACAGCAAATTACAATTTAGGATAAAAATTCTAAGTTGTAATTTGCTGACATAGCTTAAAGTAATTAGACACGTTTTATCATGTTTAATAGTAGATAAAAAACACGATTTCCTCATTGCGATAATGTTCGCAAAACTAAGATTGAAAGTATATCTAATATATAAAATCCTTGTGTCCTAGTTTTAGTGTTTATGCTCCTTCGAAATGGCTTGACCGATTTTGATGAAATTTTATATGAATACTAGCAGCCCGACAGACTTTGTCCTGTACACACGGCTTCAATCCGACTACTTATAAATAAAAAAAAATTAAAAAAGTAGTATTGTCCCCAATTGTGAATATAAACCATTCGCGAATCGACTTGAAGACACACAAAAAATTTCATTAAAATCGGTCCAGCCGTTTAGGAGGAGTTCAGTGATATACACACGTACAAAAAAATTATACGTATAAAGATTCAGTAGGTATGAGAAAAGATTTGTAACAAATTTTTTATCCTACAAATAATTTATAGGGCTGTTTTGCCCTATAAACCACAAACATTTGCCCCGTTTGCTGGATCAGCTAGTAAATACATACATATTTAATATACGATGTTAAAACTTCATAAAATTTAAATACACTATCTATATCTATATCTATTCAAGATACAATATATAATAATCAGCATACAATATGTCATAATTACTTCCAATCGTTTTTAAGTGCGTAATTGTGTCTAGAGTGAGAAAAATATGCGTATTGAGCAATAAGATCGTTAAGGTCTCTTTGTGACCCTGTAGGTGATGTCACTTAATTATTTTATGTGGTAATAAACCAAAGTAAACTGCTAACTTCTTAAGCGCCACTATTAACACCGCTTGTTGCGAAATAGAACAATGTCAGCCTTTTCTATAAATGTAATCTTTTTCTCAGCACAGAATCAAATCAAAATTGCAAACTTAATTTAAGAAAAAAATACATTAAATATAAACATATTAGTTTCTTTGAATTGAATACACTCCTGGGATCCTAGTTTTTCTTTCTCCGTAAAAAGCTATGAAACATCTCACAACGGAAAACCAACCATGTAAACGTGAAGTTTCACAAACATGAAATAACGGTCCCCATATATACCCTAAACCTAAGAAGATCGAAACTGTAACGGGTTGCGCAAGAGCAATATGCAACCATTACGCCATACTGAACGTATTACCTTCATAAAATGTCTAATAGATAAAATTGACTATTTATATATGCACGGAATGTTGAACTTTACGAATGGATACAACCGACTACTCAAAATTAACTCCGGCGAAAAGAGGATTGTGACTCGTAAATTGACACAGCTTCCAACTAACCTATTTCCCAGACAGATGGCCCTGAGCTCACATTATTTAAATCATGTGATATCTGTGTGTAAAACTCATTACCTAGATAATGACGTTATCACACAAATATCAGATTTCCTATATTGTCGCCATCCACCGAGCAATTTTCATTTCGTATCAGAAGTAAGATAAGTACCTACATGTAGACATAATTACAACATTGATCAATCGATGTCTATTTTTGATACGTAAATGAAAGATAAACCTGTGACTGAATTAGTATAGTGACTTAACGACAGGTTTTATGTTACACAATATAGATACAAAAATAAAAACAACTATTACCGGGGCACTTCTAAACTCAGTATAAATTTTAATTTAACGCTAGTTCGTACGTTCACAATCGAGATGGTTGTCACCAAAATAGGTCAAACAACACACTACTAGTACATCCGTATCTCATTAGGGCGTTGAACTTTTAAGTTCAGTAGAAAAAGTGCTTGATTGTTTGTATAGTCCTAATAATAAAGGCAGTCTACAAGCAGCTTTATTCTACTGATTCTTTGATTGTATTTAACCACTGAACAATTTAATTTACATGTATTTATGTGTATAAATATTTATCCGCGGAAGGTCACACCACAACTTTAAGTACGAGCAAGGCAGTCAATAAGAGGGCCAAATCATCCGATTACGGCAGTTTTAATGAACCGTTGAAAAATGAAAGTAAGTAGAATCACCAATGTTACCTTAAGCTGCATTGCTATCAATTAACAATAAAGACAAAATTACAGTTGCTAAAACAGAAAGGAAATACACGGAACTGCAATCATGGGTAATCCTTGGTGAGGGTCAATTTTTTATTATAACACTAAGGATTCGTCGGACTTTGTCATAGATAATTACCTACCGATTTCGCAGTCTAGTCATTTATTCTAGTCAAAAACTTATTGAATATATAAGCGGTTAAAAATATAGGGACTGTCAATTAACAGCTTATCTTCGAACTGCACCTGAAAATGTGATTGATATTTTGAGTTAAAAAATTCTCTTATTCAAATAATTTTGGCGTAAAATTAAACGCATCCACAAAACTACTATCAAATATAAAAAAGGACTTTGTTATGCAGAGATTATCTCTTACATTATTAAAAGCTTATAAAAACATCGTCTATCAAATACATTCAGTTTGCATAAAATAGCACTCCGCATAACTTGACAAATTATCACCATTTTGTGTTGATAAATATTACTAAACTCAAAAAACTAGGACATGATTAGAATACGCAAAAACCGAGAAATAATCAACGACGAAAACCCGTTTCAAGTTCATCTTGTTCACACAGATACACGTTAAAGTATTCAGAAGGCGTTATGTAAACAGTTGTCTCGGTAACCTCTATAAAAAATAAAGTTGTGTGCCAGCCACTTACAATCATTGACGACTCGCGGTGACGAAGTCGAAAGTCGTAGAAAAAAAAAGATGTCGATTAAGGTTAAATTTTCATTCGATTAGATTCACTTCTCCTCATAAATTGCTAGATGTGTTGTTCTTGAGATGTAGATTATTATTTGAAAGGCAATTGGTAACTTTTTATTTAATTTAGAATTTTAACATATAATTATAAGGTTTAGAATTCTGTATATATATAATTTGAATAAACAGAACGAGTGCACGATTATTTGTTTGTTGAAATAAGTTATTACTTTTTGTCAATAAAATTGTTGCGGTGCCATAATTCGCCGTTAGTTTAATTAAGTTAAATTCTCTCGATAGCTGTTTTATTCTAAGTGTAAACAAAGGAGATTATCAAAATTAAATCAATCAACCATGGCTTGAAAAACCCCACATGAGAATTCGTGTGTCGACTTCATTCGTTTTTTTTATTTTTATATAAGGTAACAATCAATCGAAGACTACCCAATTTTTCCTTGACCGTTTATTTATAAAAGGAACGAGGCTGAAATGTTTATGATATATCTTTCGAACAAAAAAGATTATCGGCATGGAGCTTACAAATTGAAGACTAAATATTTTTAATACCTAGGGCGATGTTTTTATGAAATTGTCTCTACTCGTATCATCTCCGACTACTTGAGCAAACATAACCAAATGATGTTTTTCCATAATGGTTAAGTAAGAAAGCTCCTAACTAGGACTTTATAATATTACTGCATTATGGTAATTAAAAGATGTTACTGAGATTCGGTGATAAAATGCCTAATGTAAATCGTGGCCATATTATACAAAACGTCTTTAACGCATACGGGTTAAAACAAAATACTGGTTAATTTAAACCGTCAGGCCGCGAACGCCGAAGACGTATGTAGACGATAGTAGGTTCGATTCCCACAGCGGCGACAAATTTTTCTACATCTGACAACTATGTTTTATCTTAAGTGCAGAGATTAGCACTATAAAAAATGTAAATTTCCAACAAACATTATTACTAAATTTGCCAATAAAATGAAAACATGTTCCTTTAATAATCCAAAGTAACAACCATGTTTTATTGGGAAAATTATGTTATTTTTTGATTAAAAAAACTGTAGACAATTGGTATTGTAACTGTAATAAAAATGCAATATCTACAAAATTTTGTCACATTATGATTTTTTTATTAAATTTATCGTAAAACTCCTGTGTAGATAGCCTGTTCCTTTTTCTGTAAACTATAAACTCTATCCTGTACAATTAAATTGAGTTTGTCATTGAAATAACATCATTCTTGTTCTTGTTGGTTTTGAGAATATCGTATTCGTATGTCTACATAAGCTTTACTACACTGACTTCAAAAATAATGGGTGGATACATGTTATTTACCGTAAATGATACTGCTTATGAGAACATTCATTCAAAAGCATACCGTAGGTATACTAAAAAGCATTATATTAAATAAAACAAACGATAATCAGAAGCTCAAAAGAATTGCGAATAATCCGCGCGTTTAATCTCACCTTGACTGGTACCGCGACCTTGTACCTGACCAACAAAGATTCGTTTGACTCCGATACGCTACATTTGCCGTTTGAATAACTTACTCCTAGATGAATATCGCTTTACTAGAGAGATAAATTCTGTTTAGATTTATTTCGCATGTTTTTTATTAACAGGGCGGTATACTGTTACTGGCGGTAAAGGGTTCGATTGAAAAACTTTACAGGAAAAAATGACTATTTTACTTTTTGGTCTAATGTCTACAGACAAAAAATAACAAAAACCATTTAAACCGTTCCCTCATCTGATAACATTCCATTTCTAACTCATTAACTTTTCTGCCAGGTACGGGAATGCTTCAATTAATATTTTTCTAATTCCTTACTCATTATCGTCTTTTCCTTTTAGAAATAATAAGAAAAATTAGTATGGTAGGTACTGATTCCAAAAGTCGACAATAGTAATTGAATTAGACATTTTCCGACTTTGACAGAAGAAAAAAAGAAATCATTTGCATATAAAAATTTAGAAGCATCTTCAAATTGACTTTCTCTAAAATAAAAAAAAATAGTAACTTAGTTTTTCTTATTTTTTAATATTTTGTTCTTTCTTTATCTTTTACTATTTTGTTTTGTTGTTTCCACCACTTTCTCACGTTCTAAATTATAGCAAAATGATTTAAGTATTATAAGTACTAATACCTATTAAAGTAATATAATTACTTTAAAAGAAATAAAATACGTATTGACTACATTGCTTAGATATATATATCGTGGTCTCCAATCATACAGTTATTCTTTTAATCTTTACTTTTCACGTCCATTGCACCCAAAATAAAATAAAAGAGCCACTAGTCAGCACTTGGTCATTCAACTCTTTTCATACTTAACGTTATCTATTGATAAAACGTCGATTACGTTGGGAAATAAAAATAAAATAAAATAAAACACAATTGAATTTACCAAATAGCAAATTTATTTTTTTAAAAAGACTAATTTTTTTTGTCCAGATATGAAACCAGCGCTCCCGTGGTATCTAAAAGGTTATTGGATACTCTACAACATCTCCATTCCCGTCGCCTTCTTAATCACCGTCTTCTATTGGGCGATATTAAATACTTGTAAGTGTTTTTTTTTAACGCATTTATATTATATGAAATATTCCGTGTAATAAATAATATTACTCAGCCAACCATCTTGCAGCTAGGAATCTGAATATGACAGCTTTGCTAAAAATGTATTATTTTCCTATCTTGTACCAATTTAGAAAACCTATTCTTTGCATTAAATCTTACTTCATCTAGTTTCTTGGCGACAAATCTTGTTTTTACATTTCAATGCTATTCGATTATTTTTGTTTATATTGATATATAAATAAAATGTCACGTCGTAGAAAAAAGTCACTGACATTGGGTTGTGCATTATCATTATGAACATTGCTTCTTAGAAGCAATACATAACTTGAATACTCTTCCGCAAACAAGATTTTCTATATATGTAACAAGGTATGTAAACTGGGCGTCAATAATTTCTAAACTAAACTGGGTTCTCAACTCGATTCTGTATTTAAAAGTTAAATTATTAAGTTTGTAGTTATTCACGTTGGCATCGACACTTTGTTACATTCAGAAGACTTAGCAAGCTTGTGTAAACAAAATTTATATAAATTTGACATTTCGAATACTTCCAAACACATAAATTGATTCCAGTGTCACTGGAAGGAATGATTCTTCCTGGGATCAACGATATAAACAGCTCTTTTTATTTTCCGAACGGAAGACGGTTCGAACGGTAGGGTGCTATAGATGCAGCCATGGGTATTATTAAGATGGCTACATTATTGTTTTACAGCTGTCAAGAAAATAAACTATGCACCGAATCCAGTTCTAGACGTCATGCTGCACGGCGTCAACTCTCTAGTGATGTTGGTGGAGCTTACAATGTCGGGGCACCCGAGTCGCCTGTTGCACATAATGCAACCGCTATACTTCGCCCTAGTATACTTGATCTTCACACTCACGTACTACATAGCGGGAGGTCTCGATCCGTAAGTTGATCTATTTATAGTCTTTCCTGTGTAAATGGCCAGTTCTGTAAATTATAAAGTTTCACCTTATACAATTTAATTGATTTTGTCGTTGCATACTTTATGTCTTACACAAAATCATACTTTTTCCTTGGTTTTGAGAAAATCATATTCGTATGTAAATAAAGAAATGACAGTCAGGACCTAAAAAGACTTATGAAATGAGAGATCTCTATGGGCTTGTATAATTGTATAACGACTTTTGTTTGTTTTCGCCTAATTTAAAATTGAACATTTTAAAAAAACAGGATACATAGAAATTTTATGTTAATATTATGCTTTATGTACAAGACATTACTTATCTTGTTTAGTCTTTTCGTCTTCTGTTCTTTTTGTTAAGATTCGCCTTAATAAAGCTAAAAACTAAATTATGCGGATAACATACATACGGTTATTACGTACGCTATGTATACAAAATGGCAAGCCATTCGTAGCCGCTTTATCCTCCACAGAAACAGCTTTAGTAGGTACTTCAACAACTCGCAGAGTTGGAACTTCAAAAATAATCCATCTGGTGCGTTGACTGGTCGCCGCACCATTTATAAAATTTTTCGTTTTTTCGTAAAAAAATCACGGTGAAAAAATAAATTTTTGAAATTGAGATTAATGAAATAAAGCTAATAAATTATAACGCAGCAGGTTTTCAGCTTTCAATAAAGAACCTTTATGGTTAATAAGCAATAAGTAAACAAGTGTGGTTTTTGGAACAGGTAAAATAAAACTCGAAAACATAAGTACATTTAACATTCCCTTACTTTTGTTCTGTGCACCTAATCGGATATCAAAGTTGAATGTCTAAAAAGAAAAAAAAAATAAGACAAAAAAGTAACCCAAGGACAAAGCAGAAGGCAAAGAGAAGGGTTAGAAATAGAAATTAAAACTATTAGGTATTCTTTCAACATTATTCCAAATATGCTAGAAGAAACTGCCATCTCCTTGCGTCGGTAATCCCATTAATGAGACCATCGAGCTATTTTGTTCTGACAAACGCCTTTGCCTCCGTCTTGTAGGCTCTTCCATCTTAGTTTTATACTTAGCCAAAGTACTATGGCAATATGAATGAATAGTTTTTTCCGTCATTAACAGAACATTTATAAAATTATATCTCAATTATTTCTCTTAAAAAAGTACATGAATAGAGAACGTAATAAATGCAACTGAAATTGATTGAACAACCAGCTGAAAAACATAAACTGAACAATCGTAAAATAATTAACATATTCTAAGCAAGCAATGCATTCACCGTGTTTTTAATCAATATTCTTACTTATTTTTTGATGTATTTTGATTCGATAGCACCTAATTTTCTATCTAGCCATTTAATAAATCCAGGGCACGGAGCTCAGTGATCAAAAAAAATTATGAAAAATAATTAATAAGTTGGTTTAATTTATTACTTATATATGTTTTAAACCATTGTACAATTATTGCCCATCGAAACAGTCCATCTTCGGTTGCAGATTGTTATCGATTTAATGACTCAGGTGATTCGCTCGAATGTGCAATCCGACATCGGAAAATATTAATTTATTGTTTTGAGAAATCATACATTCAATTATAAAGTACAAATCTTGTAGGAATACCCCGTTATATTACAATGTTAATGAAGCGAATTTACTTTTGAAGTTTGTTTCGTTTTGTTAAATTTTGTAAATTTCGTCTTTAATTAAAAAATATAAAGGTAATCAAAGATTTTGCTCGTGTACAAAATTGTAATCATCATCATCATTTTAAGGTTGGCCAACTTAAAATTATAATATTTATGATGGTGTTTTTTTTCGTAATTTAATTACGACTACATTAGCAAAACAAAATTCGACCGATTATAGTATATAAAAAATAAGGTAGCGAAAATTTATAAGATTTTTAGGTTTTTCTATAAGAGCTTACTGTGACATTGTACAGGTGATGTTTGTTTGTTAACGTACACGTTTAAAGCAAAAGCGAAGGTAATCGTACACACTCGGCTGTGACACAAATATTGTTCCAAGAACGTTTGTATACATACGTACAGTTACAAACAGTTTATTTGTGCACGCATATTTTGAAACCAAATAATATGGAAGCGCGATTTCTAATGTTCCTACAAAACGGACGCAACTAGTTATCAATCATGTCATGAATTTTGTATAACAGAGTTAAGTCATCCCTTTCCTTTATTAAAACGTATAAATCGTGGCAGAATTCCTTAATGGCCTCCTCATACTAATTTATTTTGGAATGGACAAGTACACCTTTAATTCAATCAACCTTAACTTCAATTTAATATGTCTCTAAAAAGTAGTAACATAACAGAAACTTGACAAATATTTTAACCTCGATTTATTATAACAATCTCACTCTTAATTCAAGGCGATAGGCATAATCTGCCCAATCCCCTGACATTGCTTGCGTCTTCTCATCAAAGTTGGCACTTGCATACTAAGCAGTCTGAACGAGGCAGCGCTTTAAAGGTCGCCGACTTCTGGGACACTTCACCATAAATGTACATCCTCCTTGATAACTCTTTGTCAGATGACAAAGAGTTATAGGCATCTGCCTAGCTTCATATGTCATTGAACTAATCTAAATGTTAACTTACTAATAAGTATGAATCTAATTTATCCTTAATATCCTTTCTAATATTATAAACGCGAAAGTTTGTACGTATGAATACTCACTGGCTATAATTTGTAAGTGATACAAGGGTCTGTTACGCCTTCATGAGTAAACCGCTGAACCTATTTTGATGAATTTTGGTATAAAGATAGATTAGACCTTGGAAAAGAGAATAAGTTACTTGAAGTACTAATCTCGCGCAGACTAAGTCACGGGCACCGGTTACTAATAAATAGAAACTCATCAAAACACGTGACAGCGCTAAAATCATAAAAAACAGGTGTAGTGCAACAAAAATGGCATTTCTTAATATGGCAAAAGCACTTTGAGAAATCTTAAGGACGCCCCATGTGGATCCATTTGCATACTTTAATACAGTTGTTAGTTATTCATACGCTCCCTTTTAGGTCTATAACTTGTCGTTAATTTCCGTTTCTTAATAGTGCTTTGAAAATTAGAAGAAAAAGCAATGTTTTCAAATATACGTGTGTGACATTTAAAATCAACGAATAAATTATTTCTTGACCGAAGTGTTTCTTTAAAGCGGTTTACCTCGAATTATAAATTAGTACATTAAAAATTGTATTCTCACCCAGAATTATAAATTAAATAATTAATTTTGTTAAATTATATGATAATAACGTAGAACCCATCTTAATGTTTAAATCCCCAAGCAAATATATTCAGTATTTTTTTTTTTTCAAAAAGTAAAAACAAAAAGATCACTCAAATTCCGTTTATATTATGTTCCAGTTGGGGTCACGTTTTCATCTACCCCGTCCTCGATTGGTCGAAGCCGGAACAGACGCTCGTTGTGGCGGTGCTAACCGGGCTCTTCCTGGCTCTGATGCATGTGTTGGCGGTCGCCATAGCAACAGCACGCGACCTAATCGCCCGGCGATGTTTTACCACACCATCTGGAGTATACAACGACGGATTTGAACCTTGATGACCTCCTCAATAAGGCTACATTCGAACATTTTCTTCCCAAAAAATCATAACCATCATAGAACAACATTAATTCAAAAGTTAAATTAAGGATCTCGAACATTAAAATGTTACTTCTTGGATAAGAAAATGAATTTTGACATCGCGTTTATACGAATAGTCTGTAGTATATATTTATAGATTTTTTTAAACAAATGACTGAAAAACCAATGACATAGGAAGACTGTCATTATACAAGTTTTGTGTAAAATTTTAATGAATCTAATAAATGTGAATGTGATGTAACCATTTCAGTTGCGAAATCTAGTGATATTTTGTAAATTAAGTTATAATCAATCATTCAGTAAGTTTGAGAACTGTATAAAATATTGTGTATTTAAACTAGCTTAAAATAGAATGGCTAAGTGTAAATAAATGTATGTCTTCGAAGCAAGCTGTGATGGTCCGTTTGAGAATTGAACGTTTCAATGAAATTAAACGCAAATGATGAATGAGTGCAAACCGTCACGTGTTATATTATTTCAGAATCCCCATTAATATGTTTCAGTTAATACGATGTATTAGTCACGATCCCGAGACTTTTATGATGCTCTTGGTCATAGTACGTGCAAAAATTATCAGTCGTTAATCGGACGGAAGATAACAAGCTAAAACAATTCATGAGAATAGCGACTCGAATCAGAATGCTAGAGGGGCCGCTATTGACAGCGCGCGTTAAGAAATTAGTTCGCAAAAATGGGCGCTATTAAAGGCTATTTCAAGTCTCAACTTCAATGGCAAATGATCATGTTGGAGTATGAAGACGTTTCGGAGTTTTATTTGAGTGCGTTCCAAAAGAATCGTTCGGTCGTTCCGTTGCTGTTTCTGAGGGTGGTGATATGTCTGGGCTGCGTCGGAATTGTGGTGTCGTCCGCTGTGCTATCGGTAGAAAACATGGCCTGGACCTACTGGCCAATATTTCTAACACACTGGGGACTGATTTTAAACATGATTGCAGCGGCATTTGCCGTTGTTGTGTCCGCGAGGGCCTATTTACGAGGACCCATCGGTGAGTGCGCTTTCATCATTTCAACTTCTTTAAATGTATTGTTTTCTAATACATAGGAATTGACTTAATGAGCGTAAAAACTTAAAAATTATTCACTCATTAGTCTAACATTTTCTAAATACACAATGACCGTGAATATTTATTTAGCTTATCAATATTACTTAATACTAGATAATCTAGTTGTTGAATGTTATGCCAAACGTTTCCGTTAATTCTAATATTATAGATAGATAGGTATTTTACTTTGGCTCAGATTTTTGCTTTTAACCCGTAGACCTAATATATATTAAACCTTCTTCGAAGTTTAAAAAAAAAACTAGCCAAGTACGAGTGAACTCGTGCACCAAGGGTTCCGTGTACCACTATCTATAAAAACGACATAAAAATGATGTCTGTTATATGGGAGCCCTACTTAAATATTTAATATTCTGTTATTTATTTGTTGTTATAGCGGCAACAGAAATACATCATCTGTGACAATTTCAGCAGTCTCACTATCAAGGTTCATGCGATACAGCCTAGTGACAGACGGACGGACGGACACACAGACAGAGAGAGCGAAGTCTTACTAATATGGTCCCATTTTACCATTTGGGCACGGAACCTTAAAAGTTACATTTAAATTTAAATAGTGCACTTGTTTAACGTAAAATATAAATATAACGCTGCTTTTGAATATGATATAAGTACCTAGTTGTCTTCTTAGACATTTATAGTTTTTTTTAATTATAATAACATTGTATATTCTTATATAATGTTACTATAATTCGTATTACTTTCGATAAGTTTAACAGCTACAAGGTGCTCGTTTGCAGAGCTTAAAAAACGGCATTGTAAAGCTTCTGGAAGCTTGACTTTGTAGGTATTCCATGTGATGAACCAATCGCCAACCATCTCGCCAATTGAACGTGTGAGACAGTTTCTACCAAACAACATCCCATCCATCCATGATCACCTTTCTGATAACTTTAGCTTAGCGATCATTTGAAATTATAATTCCTCTCAAATTTGACGATAACGTGTTAAGCGGAGATAACCTAGAAAACTTATCAATTTTCCTTCTCAACGACAACATTTGAAAATTGTAACGGCCTATATATAACATATGTACGTACTGAATTGAAAATTTTATCGAGTGTCTTAACTCATTACTCTTAACACTTGCTCAGCGGCGAAGGAAAACATCGTGAGAAAAGCTGCATATTTTCGAAATAATAACAAAAAAATTTAACTGGAGTCCGCCAATCCTCAGTGACTCAGACCTCAGAGCTATGCTATAATACCGTCTGTATGTACAGAGGAGGCCTTTCCCCAGTTGTTTGACATGCATACTATAGCCTGTTACTTTACTTCACTTTAATAAATTTTTCACATGGCAATTAACATTTACTAAATATATAGTTTTTTGCTTGCTTCAGACGCTTTATTCGGACTGCCATGGTACGTGAAGATGCATTGGGTCATGACTAATATTTCAACAGTTATAGCAATTTTCATAACGGTGTTTTATTGGACGCTTCTGAGCAATACTGGTAAGTTGTGTAAATAATATACAAAACCAAATGTTAATAAAAATTTCGTTCTTCAAACAAATCTATTGAGAAAACCACCATAGGTGAAAGAAAGAAAGAAATATTTTTATAATTATAATAACAATAATTATAATACTGCGAAAGTTATCACGCAGAAAGTTGGGAGTGGCGATCTGCGCGGGAGACCTTTCATCAGCAGCGGACTCAAATAGGCGGAAATAATGATGATGACTTTTCAACCGCCTTCAAAAGAGAAGGAGGTTCACGATTCGACTGTATTTTTTTTGTTTGTTACCTCATAACTTCCCACTGGGTGAACCGAACTTGATCATTGTGTATTTATTTGGAAGCTGGTGCCCATGTGGTCCCATTTTGATTTCATTGGTATTGGATCTTGGGCTCTGGGGATATTTAAAAACTCCTCCAAAGTCATTACATAGTATAAAACAAAGTCATCCCGCTGTCTGTCTGTCCCTATGTATGCTTACATCTTTAAAACTACGCAACGGATTTTGATACGGTTTTCTTTAGTAGATAGAGTGATTCAAGAGGAAAGTTTATATGTGTAATTCATGCATCATATAGTAGAGAAATACTGATAATTTTAGAGCTTTCCTATGTCGAAAACAAACATTCAGCATTGCACCCGTGCGAAGCCCGGGCGGGTCGCTAGTCAATTATAAAATTAGTATAGAGCGAGATATTGGAAGTCGGGTTTGTTTTTTGTTAATAAAAATGGACTTATGACTTAAATGGATTATAAATTAAAACAGGGAGACACATAACTTAATACCTAAGGAATTTGGCGCCTTATTGAAAGTTATCCGAATACTCACGGTCTAAAGATTGTATCGAATAAAAATTTAAAATAATAGGCGCAGACATAAGCTATTTAATGATATTATCTATTTATCTATTCTTTTTCTTCACCTGACCTCGAATTTTCACGGATAAAAAGTTTACGATAAAAGCATTTATCAGTGAATCATTATCGTTATATTGCTATACGGATTATACGGAATGACTTTTTATCAATTTTAATATCAAAAATCCTATAAAAAGTCATCTTCAAATTAAAACAATATTTTTATTATCACATTTCGTTCTATCACTTTATACCAAAATACTTATTTTAGTATACAGCCAGAGCCCAAGCTTATCTGATTAACGAAAGGGATTCTACACTAGGAAAATATTTATGAAGTGATTTGAAAAGAATCCGTGGTGACCGCATTCATTATAAGAGTCAATAATATTTATTTTAAATGCTACACGTAACACACTGAACCAGCAGAAAGTATTGCGATGACGAAACCCCTGAACTTAGGTTGACGTTCTGCCCTTACTTTGCCGTAGAGGAAGACTACGCCGTGATACTTTACACTGGACATTTTCATTCACGCGGTGAACACAATCCTCATGCTGGTGCTGCTTCTGTCGGCGAAGCAGCCATTCCCGCTGCTCCACATCTACCAGCCGATCATTGTCGGAATCATTTACGCTATCTTCACTGTCATTTTCTACTTCGCCGGCGGCACCCACCCGTGGTATGTTTTAAATCGTTTCACGTTCCAACTGTCTTTTTCTTTAGCTTTCGACATCCAGAGCTTACGGAGCTGTTTCGAACATACGGTTTGCTTGTCGATTCTGGTTTTACGTTAACTTTGGTATTATGAGGAAGAGCTTTTAATATCATCATTTATATCAATATCTACTTTGAAATAAAACTTACATCCGTGTTACAACTCGACAGATTTTTATAAGCAGCATGAACGTTTTCTTTATGTGAAAAGGCAGCAAACGAGCTTAATGTTAACGATTATCACCGGCCCTTAACATATACAATACATGAAGTCTACAACCTTTCAAAAAAGTGGACACGGCCACCTCACTTAACTGGCGAAACACAAATATATAATGCACTTCACGTACACAGATCGTCTATGACAAAAGGCAGCGAACCTGGTTTTATTACAATTAAATTTTAATATTTTAATTAAATTTATTTAAATACAATTATCACAGGTTTTTTTTTTTTTACAGGACTGCAGGCCCATACATATATCCAGTTCTTGACTGGTCTGCGCCTGGGCTGGCTATTTTGACAGTAGTTCTATCGACGCTATTAATGATTGTCCTACACGTTGTGTGTGCGTTACTGACCATCCTGCGAGACGTCTTGAGTAGCCGTTTGCTCAGAAACAACAAATATTCCATATCCTCTGGGAGCTTCTGATACTCTCGTAACAATATGATACTTCGACTAGAAAGAAAGTCGATTATTATCAGGATTGAGCACGATGTCACAAGGAAAAGTAATCCAAGCATTACTGATAAATCGGCCTCGCGTTGGTCTGTTGTGATCGCGGCCAGTACTTAACAAAAATTTTATTCAAATCCTATAAAACCTATTTTATATGATAACTGCCCATTTTATTTATTCCTCTATTAGATAACAAAAGATCTAAAGCGAGTGGCGTAGCTAGGTGTACAAGGGCCCCGGTGCATAGACAAAGAAGCGGCACTTTCTATGTAGTTTGAACTTATATTGACCGATTGGCCCTCAAGATAGGGTTAAGAAAAGAATAATGTGCCATGAACTTATTCCTACTAGAATAAATCTATACGTAGGGCTAGAATCCCTAGGTGTTTAATGAAGGAAAATGGAAATAAACAGCGATGACACTAGGAAATATTCTTTTGTACAGATGAGACATTAATTGATAGAGAAAAGAAATCCAGAAGACGTGGGTTCGATTCCCGCAACGGCAAGAAAGTTTTCATCCTATTTTCTACAAACTTTAATGTTGCATACATGCAGAAATTAGCACTAAAAATTTAAATTTTATACACATTACATAAATAATTGGAAACATCAGTTCAGAAATTTCCACTGAAATTCGTTAATTTTTGCAAATTCCTGTATAACTTCACTCAAATCCAAGTTTGATGCCGCCTTGTTTTCTATTGCAATTAATGTTAAATGTCGATAGTGATCTTGTCCAATGCTATTTTTTAAATAATTCGTCATAATCTTCAATTTACTGAAAGATCTTTCTGCTGACGCGGAAGTTTCTGAAATGTGAAATAGTAGCATTATTTTAAACATTTCCGTAAGGTTTCTTTTTTATTATGTGAAAAGTTGCCAAACGAGCAGACGGTTCACCTGATGTTAAGTGAATACCGCCGCCCATAGACATCTGCTACACCCGAGGCTGCTGCGTGGCTCTACCACCGTTTAAACTTCTTAACTTTAGACATCTCCAAAACTTGACGCAAGTTGTGTGATCTTCTTGTGTATATATAAAAATGAATGGCTATTTCCCTTCGATAACTTCTATATTCCCGTACAAAAGATTCGTAATAATACTTAAAAGTCAATTTGAACTTTAATACCATTAATAATTTAAAACCACACAAAGGATGCGGTTTTTTTTACTAGATAGAGTGATTCAAGAGGAAGGTTCATAAGGATGCGGTTTTTTTTACTAGATAGAGTGATTCAAGAGGAAGGTTCATATGTATAATACATTGCACCCGTGCGAAGCCGGGGAGGGTCGCTAGTCCTATATAGGAATGAGTTGCACAATTTATAGAAAATTTGCATTGTTTCTTTCCTCATTAAAATCCTTTCGATGTCGTCTCAAAGTCAAAGAACTCTTTGCAAGAGTACTTAATGAATGATATGATATCGAATTATCTCCGAAGAACTTGTCTCCAAAATGATGCTTCTTTGCGAAATTAATATCCAAGTTCCTTGTCAATGGTCGAACAAACGTGGAGTTACGATACATTATCTTCGTGTAACTCAGGGCAGAGGGCAGCAATTTTTTTGACTTAATACTTATCTTAATATTATCAAATCACACAAAATCTATAAATTGTAGCCTATGTGTTATTCCAATACATACTTACACCTTAACTAATAAGTTGAGTGGAATTGATCTCACGACCGTCAGCACATAATCAATTTTGAAAACCAGTTGAAGTCAGTCATTAGGATTTCTGTTATTGTTAATGTTTATTTAAAATAAAAAAAATCTTGTGAGCAGCCTCGAGGTTTGCCAGTTATGAGATCTAGCTGCTCCTTTCTTTTTAAAGCTTAGGGGACCCCTGAGCTTCGGGGCCCGGGTACACTACACCACCTGCCCCTACTATAGCTACGCCACTGTTAAAAGCTATTAATTGTTGTGTCAAAATAATCTAATAGCATGTAATAGGGTTAAAATAAATTATTAGTTTTTTTTTTAAGATTAGCAGTGTTTGATAGAATTTTAGGATAAAATAAAAGGTAATAAAGATTACATTTTATTTTATCCTGTAATGAATGCAAATTGTATTTGTAACTAGGTGAAATAAAAACATCATTCTGAATCAACCATTTAATTTATCAATCATAAACTTTTGATGTAACTATTATAATTATCTCACTAATTTAAAGGTTGCAATGTGAAATTGATGAGTGGGGCTTTAAATGGCGGCCGTATTTATAAATAAAAAAACAAATGTCATATACTCATTCTGACACTTAACATTTGTCTTTTTATTTTTAAATTATTTTTTTAATTTAAAATTTTAAAATAAAGTTATTATTAATAGCTTTCGTGCTTTTATTATATAAAACGTTTAGATTCCTCGTCCAACACGTCAATGCGACAAGGTTTCAGATGCAGTAAATGGATACCCTTGCAGAAAACCACCATCAGCCAATGAGATTTTAATAATATCATTTCTACGTATTGCTTTTGTTTTTTGTGACGTGTAGTTTGCTGTTTGCGTCGTCTGACAGCTGCGGCGGAAGAGGTCCGCAGGCGGACGAACCACGGACTCGGCACGACGACGACTACTAATGAAAGATAGACAATCGACTAACAGAGGGGGGCGCGACACGATCCAAGGGCGACTCAGATGGAGGTTCGAACCTCGTCTAGGACCGCAATCGATAAGAGGACCTACCCAGAGGAAGTAATAAGGTTAAAAATGCGATTTAATCCCGAGACGTATCGGCGTCGCACTATCGCTTATGAATGAATAATTGTACAAACAATTATTCATGAGAGTAATTTGTTTACGAGATTTGTTCATCTTTATTATCATGTGTTAAAAGTGTTAACAAGGTTAATAAAAACAATTCATTCACGAAAACATGGTTTGCAAAAAAAACAATTAAAGTAACACCCTATAAATCTCCCACTGCTAGGCAAAGTATTCCCCTCTATACTGAGGGTATTTGAACATAGTCTACCACGCGGCCCCACTGCGGATTATCGGACTGCACATATTTTCGAAATGTTTTTTTTTCCTCGAGATGTTTTTCTTTAATACTGGGCACGTGATATTTCAGCACTTAAAATTAACAATTTCTGACAAGCCTATCACGGCTTACAAAATAAAAGGTTATACAATTAATCACGCAGCCATCACAAGCACTTATTACACACGTCACTGAAAACACGACGTAATTATTCTAAAACGACCTGGCACATGAGTAAAATATCGCGTGTACGTCGCGAATCTGGGACCTCGCATTCGCCGTCGAATGCGCTGACGTAGGTTAACGTCAGGTAAACATCACGAGAGGAATGCCAAAACCACTTATCGCGGTTTTTTTATCAGAAGCCCCAGAATTTCTATAGCAATGGGATCATGTCCCTAACTACAAGATGGCAGAAAGTTATCGAACAAAATGGCACCTCCATTGTTTTGGTACACAAAAAATGTTTTGAATTTGCATATAAAATGCAGGGAAACTTTTTCCCCAACCTTATTAATATTAGCATTCGGTTACTGACCACAAATACCTACCGTCAAATAGTGATTTATTTTTCTTTAATAATAGTTAAATCACTATTTCAATCTGGCTATTGTAATTTTGTCAAAATTAATTAAAAAACATCGGCCGTGTGCGTGTTGGATTCGAAGGGTTCCGCACGGTTCATGAGATACAGCCTGGTGACAGACATACAGCGTAATAGTAGAGCCCCGTTTTAACCCTTGAGTACTTAACCCTAAAAAACAAAAAAATAACTACATTCTATAATTTTTTTCATAAAGTACCTATGTATGTACGCATAAATTCAATTTAATATATTTAAATAGTTCTTTCAATTAATCTCGAAGACACACACACACTGTGTTTATTACTGCTACCCATTTATATAATAAACGTTTCCCGCTATCCGCGATTATGAAAAGTTATTAAATATTTATAAATAAAACTTCTGCATGACGGATTTTATTGTGGGTTTTTTTTGTGTTCGAGATGATAATTTTGAATTATAATTTGAATCGCTTTGAGGTTCAGATTATCAATATCAAATCTTCTATCTCTTTTACGGCGTTTTTTCATGGGATAAATGAACTTGACAGAAGTTGACGAAGATTCTTCTCCTCTTTGAAAATTGTTGTTAGAATTTCTTCACTGACAGCTGTTGCTTCCAAAGTACGTTTTGTGATATTTGAACCAGGTATTGTGCAGTTGTGCATGTGTGCATGTGTGTCATCTCTGTGTCTGAACTCATCTCTTCACAATCGTTGTGTTGTTCAAAAATACAAACAATTATTACTACTAAGCGCATTAAAAGAATAATTAAAGAAAACGACACGTTATAAACGGCGCAGCCACTAATAGTAACACTCAAATGTATACTATCGCATCGCCCTGAAACCAATGCGATTTTGGCACAGTGATCGGTGTTAGTCAATCCGATAACGCATTCACAATCGGCGTGTTATCTGTCCGGGACTAAAGATACCCGAGTTTCGGTGATGTATCAGTGCAGCGCGTGTACACCGGCGTGATGAGCGCCGCGAGGGACTATTTCAAACGCGAGGCGCGGCTGAGCATGCTTGGCCTGGAGCACCCGAAACCGTCGTGCTTCCACCTGAGCGCTTGGCAGACGAACCGCTCGGCGACACCGTTGCTCGTTTGGCGCGCGTCGCTGTTCCTAGCCTCGCTCGGCATCGTGCTGGCGTCGATGGTGTCGTACGGCCAAGGCGGCAAGTTCGGTTTCTGGTTCATATACCTGACGCACTGGGGCCTGGCCCTCAACACGTTCGCGACCGGATTCGCTGCCGCCGTCTCCGCGCGCTGCTTCTTTCGTGGGCCCGTCGGTGAGTAGATAAGTATCTAAGTGTAGTAGATAAGTATCTAATAGACCGCGTCACAGCCGTGACTTAGCCGGCGGGTTTAGAAGTATATTTCTGCCACGTTCCTTAAACAAGGTAAATGTGCATAAAGGAAGATTTGAACATTCAACTAAAGTAAGCATAAAGGTTGCGACTTGAAGAATTACATAAGCATTAGTAAATGCTCGAAACAAAGCTTTTTATAAAACGGCTACCGTAATTTATATTAAATTCATAGTTCTTTTATTCCCTTTTTTAGTATGACCCTTATTGTATGATAACGTAATCCTGTATTGACAAACATAATTTATACTTAGACATTACGTACTTTACGTACGTTACAATTAACTGTGGGTCGCACAAATAGTTGCCCGTTTGGGTATCGAAACCACAACCCCTGGCGCCGAAGCCTTAGCGATTGCGCCACGGAGTGAGAGTACATATAACCGAGTACTTACATATAAAAGATGCAAAGATATCTCATGTCATTCCTTTTTACGTTAATTTCCCACAAATCTCCAATCAGCATAATAATGAACACTCGACATCCCTCGATTTACCTCTCAGTTTGATCCATGAAAGAGACGCGAGGAGAAAATGGATTTCAAAATACATGTTAAAGGATCAATCAGAATATTGATAATTTGTAGAGATGCGCCGCATGTTCAGTCGAATATTCGTATTCGGCTGCACAAGCGGAACCCACAACCGGCACACCTCTATTAATTTGCAATTATCGAATAATTCGTACCACCAAAAATTGTTAGAATCAATTTTTTCTATATACCTACTCATTTCCAAGAAGCTGATGTTTTTTGATGACGTTAACTGCATAGGTAATATTTTGCTGCTGTAATTATCTAATTCTGTCCTTTTGGCGTTTAATTATTGTTTAGGACATTATATACTTATCATCTGAGAGTTATTGTACAACTTTACAAAATTCAATTTCCGGATCACAATTTTACTAGGATTTTACAATTAGATAATTATAAGGTTTAACATGTAATAAAATTTAATGATTTTCAATCAATGTCTAAATGAGTCACGGATAATAAATTATGCTCGTTTTTTTCTACAGGCGCCGAATTCAGTTTGCCGTGGTATATAAAAAGCTACTGGGTTCTCTACAATAGCGCCGTCCCTATCGCATTCCTAATTACAGTGTTTTATTGGACTATACTATATGAAGGTAAAGTATACAAGATTGTATTAAACCATAGGAAGCTTTTGAGGCATGCAAAGAACAAAATGCAATATTATTAAAACTTAAGGTAAAGCCTAAGTTTTAATAAACACTATTATCTAGTACAGTTCTGAATGAAACAAAATTCAAAACATAAAACCATCGAGTTGTTGCATTACGGTTTTTTCCTTTTGTGTCCGAGCGCTCGCTTTTAATTCAGTATACTCGAGCAAGCTGGGTTCAAATGCCAGCACAAATGAAAATGTTTATTTGAAGCGGTGCTGGGGGGAAACATCATGAGGAAACCTGCATATTTTAAACATTGTAATAAAAATATTTCGAAGATATGTTAAGTCTGCTAATCCGCAGTGGGGTCGCGTGGTGAACTATGCCCTAACGCCCTCTGTACATAGGAGACCTTTGCCCAGCAGTGGGGCATGTATTGGCACATACTTCACTTTATTTAAAATCAGAATTGTAGTTTTTGCTGTAACTTTTTACTGAATGATTATTTTTTAATCGACTTCAAAAAAATTGTTTGGCAAAAAAGGTTTTATTCGTATTGGCTCATTACACTACTGGATTATCTCTTATTAATCTTTTATACGTCTCTTTCGCTTACGCCCATCACATCAAAAGATGACATCTGATTACCAATGATTTACAATCAGTTAAGTATAGTTTTATACGGTCGACCATTTAACAGTTAAAAACCATTTGTCCGATCTAATAAAAAAAGCACCTCAAAAAGTAGTAATGAGATACAGTAAAATCTCGGATGAGCCTGATTACTTCTACGACTTCAAGACTCAACCGAGTATTCTAATAAAAATTCCGAATAGAATTATAAACCTAAATATAAATGTTTTACATAATATTTAAGAATGAGAGCTCTTAGTAAAATATAGATTTAGTATTAACTAAGAGCAAGGTACCAAAAACTAATGAGGTGATATCACTCTTTACTTATTATCAAAATATTCTTTTTACAGCGGGCTTCGAAGAAGAACTCAACCCTGGGCTGGATGTAGCCGTCCATGGTCTTAACTCAGTAGTCATGTTTCTCTTGCTGGTTTCATCTTCGCATCCCTCGAGGCTGTTGCACCTGTACCATCCCATGATCTTCGGGTTGACATATACGGCTTTCAGCGCTATCTACTACCTAGCCGGTGGAGTGGACCGGTAAGTTGTAACTAATCTGGTTTTACTAACCATTTGTTCAGGTGTGAAATTTTTCTAGATGTTGCAACCGGATCCAATGTTACCATGAGTTGATATGAGCGAGAGAGCGAATAATTGGAGTAAACGCAGAATAGATCGAAAATTGTACACCACATAAACGTAGCTCACGTAGTTTATCGCGAAATTCATTACAAACATATCGTGAGATCTCGTTTAAACTTTAAGTACACTTATCTAGCAGACTTGTCTATAAAGCATTTAATTAAGAATAAAACATTTAGCAAATTTTATTTCTAAGCGCGAAGACATAAAATATACTTAAATTCTTTTAAAACTCGCCCCTTCGCACTGATGTTTACTGATTGAGTTTATTAGGATAATTTAGAGTGGGGCAAGAGCCCAGGGCCGCCTGACGTTACTTATTTTCTGAGTAACAAAATATATCGTACATAATAGAGTTAGAGTATACTATGAAGGTGTACATACCTGCTACCTTGGGCTTTTCTTAAATTCGGAGTCCTGATTTTTATTAGAAATTTAAAATCAATATTGCCAGACAGTCTTCGTCGGCGGTAATTTCCGCCAGACAGAAAATCCCGCCGTGGGTTAATGCACATAATGTTTTCGCGGTTTTATATCACAGGCCCATTAAATTTATGTTTTATTTCAGTCTTGTAAAATTTCTGAATAATGATTAAACCGTATTTTAGTGCACAATTACAAATTATAAATTTCAGTATTATAGAAATTGTTAACTTATGAGCGGAAAGGTTCATACTCATTCAAGTGGTAGGTACTTCATTCACCGTCACGTGGACTTGCCCCACCCGAAAACACACACGAGTTATCGCTACGCACACAACACGCCTCAGTTCGCCCTCATCTGCGATATCAACATATTGTGTAAAATCCTGGATTCGAGCATTTCCACCACACCCAGCCAACGGTTTAACAAAGCCGGGTAATCCTGCTGAAAAGGGACGAATAATACAAGACGCAAGTAATAAGTGTGCTTTGTCAGCTCTCCTTTGTTACTCCGCTCGCAAGGACTCTTAAGCCCGTAGAAACTGTTGTTCTTTCTGCGGGCTCTTCTTCCGATGTTGCTTGATAAAGGCCATGGGTATAGAAACACAAAAACAAAGCAAAAAAATTAATACCCCTGACCGATACTATTGGGTTTTTTATTAAGGTTATAGGTTGTTGAATATGTTATTGCCACATCTACAATTATCGACAACCACACCTACCTTGTTACGTAGGGCTAAATGCTATGAAAACTGATACTCTATTGTTATCATATATGACCGACTCCGCGGGAAATCAACTCTACTTATTAAATTATCTCGCCTTACATTTATTTTTTAAGTCAGGGTTTTTTTAATTTTGTAATCCTTTTTCAATTACTTTTTAATCGTCGCGTCGTCGGGTTTTTCAAAATTTTAAAATTTGCATTTTATCATCTAATTCGTTAAACGAAAGAGTATATTAAAAAAAACAAGTTAATGGATTTTACGATACATATTATGTACTATGTGTATTTCTTTAATTTTCATAGTTTCTTACGACTAATTCTGACATAATTCTGACGACGATTAAAATTTTCATGTTTTACAGTAAGTGAAATCCTTATTGTAATAACATTCTGGGATGTTTCAAATCAATTTTTAATATTATTAAACAATGGCGATCAGTTCTTTGTCTATGCTCCAAATAAAACTGTGCATATTTGATTAATGAGCTCTTGATATTGATATTCTGCGCCCTCACAGTAGACCAGCGTGAAGTTCTTTTACGTGAGAACGTGGCAGTGATGTTGTGATAACCGCCGCCCATTCGTTGCGATCTTTAAATAAACTGGGCCCAGACTACCTCACTTACCAGATGCAGAAGGACAACACTTCCACTTCACGCCAGTCTTTTGGTCGTGGTCCGATCGGGCCTACCTATTCGTGCGACCGAAGCGGTTGCGTGGCCCTACCACAGTATACTTTTGCGTATCATCTGCTGGGTGAATTACCGGAAGTTCACACTCTAATTTAGGAACATGCCTGTCCGTCACTCGCTAATTATCGGTTTCCATCCCATTAAAATTTAAAAACATAAGTACTGCATACTTTAGATATTCGGTATTCCACACTAACTCCATGACGAGGGAGCCTCCAATCTTCTTTTACCTCAAAATCATCGGATCTGCAAAAATGTTACTTTGCGCATACATTCTGTATATACATTCTATGCATTTATTTTTATTATGAGTGCTTAATGTAATTAACGTTTGAAAAATATTTTTAGCTACCCTTATTACGCTTTACTGATAGTAAAAATACTACCATCGGTTCGGAAAAGAAAGCCACTGTACTGAGAAGAACCAGCGAAACAAACTCATTTTTTTTCTTTTGTGAGTTATCATTTCAATAATCATTAATATTTTAATAGCCTTTAAAACACAAACGTTCTTTTACTGCTTTTTAAATTTTAGCTATTGATGTATTTTGGACGTTTTCTGGGATTTTGTTGTAGAAACGTGTACATTGTCCTATAAAAGATTTACTATCCTATTACTGCTACTATACTATTACTAAAGATTACTATACTATTTCTCACATATGTCTCTTGATACAAAGGCACCTGGAAAAAAATATCAATATTAACCAAACCTAATAAGCTTATGGATAAAGTTGTATTTACCGTATTTTAAAAACATTCTCCAATATCTCTAGGAACAAATTGTCTATTTTAAAGCTCAAGTGTACCTCATAACAAGTTGCTCAGTATTTTGCAACATACCTAATATAAAAATGTAACAGAGGTTTGTAATTTGAAAAATCTTAAGTTTGAATACTTTAAGAATTGTGTCAAGATCAGACTCACGTAGACTAGAATTCGATTCAATTCAACCGGACATTAAATATCTAGATCAATGACGCATATCAATGATCATATGCATATCAATAATCTGAACAGCAAGGTCTATGCTGCTGCAATTGGTGATCCGATCTTTTGTTCAGGTTGTTTCCGTGATTGATTTTGTTACACATAGACAACAATCGATTTCATAGACATTTTTCTCATAAACATTTATTTCTGCTTTATCAGTTATGAGCTGATACGGGTTTGATATACAATGATTTATTTACTTCCAGTTTGAACCAAGAAAGTTTGTTACAAGTTGCAAGTGCAAATAAGAAACTAATGATAAAAACATGAAATTAAATAGGTGTTAATATACTCAGCGAGATTTTGTTATTTTCAGTAGATACCATAATCATCTTCCTACCCTTATCTATCTCCAACCTCCCTCCCTCCTTGGCAAACAAACACCCAGATTCGGGATAATTATTTGTAGTTTGGATTCGGGATAATTAGTTGTCACACAAATACTTGACCCGTGTGGGAATCGAACTCACGACCCTCGACGCCGAAGCCAATAGCTTAGCAACGGTGCCATTGAGTTTAGCAAGGGAAAGATAAATACACTGTACTGGTAACTATGCTACACATTTAAATACAAAGCATCATTTACATTTTTATAATTTATACTTTCCATACTATTACTTGCTTATATTTTTCTATCAACAAAATTTAATAATATTTATTTATAGCAGTATTTAGTATACCCACGAGAGCCTAGTATTTTTGTGACCCACACATAGTTGTTCCGGAGGTTTATTCCGAAGGAAAGGTCTGGGTATTTGTTCTCTATGAAGGTTTATATCATATTTTTATATCATCTGGCTAGCGTCCGGTCATACCGTTAAGAAATAAAACTGATTCAAAGATTTGCCGGCCACATCTAGGTGGAATAAGAACAGGAGAAAGAAGAAGCTTCTGTGAACTAAATTAAGTTATAAGTAGATTGAGTTATATTATAAAATGGTAGATAAAAACAAATTCTGTCACTCAGTCTACTTTTGGGTTGACACCGTCGCTGCCTTCACACACAATATTCCAACATATAGCCGTCTAAGCCGTTATGGCAATGGCAAAAGGCTTTCAATATTATTATAATAAACGTTCAGTTTACTAGCATTGAGCCGTATTGGCAATATGAATTATTCATAAACATGCCGTCGTTCGTGCAATACAAAACTTCATAAGTATAACCCCACTAGTCTTTGTTCCTAGCATGCACTTTTCATTATTTCACAGTGCATCACGCACTTTGAAATTATGAAAAGTGTGTCACGTTTCTTATCCATAAAGGGGTAGCACGGAACAACTGCTGATAAAAGTCACACAAGGCTGATGGCACTCTCCAGGGTGGGATAGTGATTTAAGCAATCAGAAAGACGGAAATCACATGGGTAATTACCACTATTTTTTTTCAACTATCTGTGGGTCACACAAATTGTCGTCCCGTGTGGGAATCGAACCCACGACCCCCGACGCCGAAGCCAATACCTTGACGACTGCGCCACGGAGTCATGTTTCGAACCTTTAACCGATTAAGGCACACCACTCCATAAGTCCATCGCAATCATCAATTTCAAATGACACATTTGACAGGAATGTTATGTCTATATTAGTTAAACTATTCTTGGCTCTGTAACAATATAGATCGTTACATTTTCCGCTTGACAAGACAAAGAAAAAACCTGGAAAGGAACTATAGCTATAACTAAAGGTCACGGAACGATAGTTGGAAAATGCCCATATACAATAAGAAATGAAAAAGGCAATCGTACTATTATTTTTACTAGTAGTAATGTAGTAATTGAAAGGTTTTAAAACTAAAGTCGCTGTTATCTATATTTTTAATATGTTGTAATAAGATACATTTTACTAAATCCTAGCCCAATAAGTTTTGGTGATTGATTGTTATTATGTTTTGTTTCTTTACATTTTTTTAATAATAGGCTTCTGCAACTGATCGAACGTCTAAACAATGAAATGTACATTATATTTAAGACCTGTCAGCGTATTATGTGAACATAATGTGCTCTGTTGATATTTTAACGTGATGAAAGGCGTTGCCAATTTGTGAGGAATTTCCCAAGCTGTGGAGAAAGTTGATTGTGGATTTATTGGCATTATGCTGGCCCCGGAAACGCGAGGAATTTACTGAGAAAATTGGGGATTTTGACATCTAATTATTATGAAAATTAAGTTGTGACAAAATTTTAATTAAAATATATAATATACTAAATTAATTATATTTTATAATAATACTAAATGTAATATACTAAATTAGCTATTAAAAATAATACTAACAACAAATATAGAAAAAATGTAAAGTCATGTTAATCAATGTTTTTATTTTTAAGTTTATGTAAAAAGTATTTACATATCAGACATGGACTATGAAGAAACTATTATGTTTTTCTATCCATTTTGCATATCATTTGTTTTTCATTATTTTATTCTTATACTTACTCGTTAATAGTATCGATAATTTGTTGGCTACTTAGTGGTTAAAATTATTTGAAACATGTGTATCGCCATTTTTAGAAACATTATGTATCTCCGATTATCTATACATCTATGCAGATAAATAAAATTGGAGTGTGTTTGTAATATTAAAATAACCGCTTTTTACTAAATGCATATGGATGTATACACGGTACATATACCAAAATTACATTTTTTACAATTCTTGTCAGTCTGTCTGTTTGTTCAGGCTAATCTCAGAAACGGCTCGACCGATTTGGACGGGACTTTCACTGACAGATAGCCGGTGTAATAAGGAGTAACATAAGCTACTTTTATTCTAGATTTCTTTTTATTTTAAATTCCACGCGGACGAAGTCGCGGGCACAGCTAGTCACTTAATAAACGTTTTATGAAAAGCAGGTACTTATTACACTTATAGCAAGCCACATGCGTTTATTATGTTGATTTTATATTCAGACTCCAAATAAAGATTCTATTTCGTCCAAGTATGGAAAAATAATTAATAAAAGGTCAAAGCTTGTATCATTTCTTCATCAGCAAACTTTTTTTACTATATTTGAATATTTGACTGACTACCAGTTGATCCCGTTGGATCTAGCAATATGTTAACTTTTAAGCCGACAATTAAGAACCAAAGATTATTGCCAATTGACTATGCTAACTTAACCATAACTGTTCCTTCTTTCTTGACCTTACTTACGCCATACCGACATATTTTAGGCAAAAACAGTAAAAAGCTTCGGTTGTTGCACAAATGGGCAGGTCCGTCAGGGTAAGTACCACGACCTAACAGAATGCCGGCGTGAAGTGGAAGTGTTATACTTCTACGTATCGTCTGGTGAGTGAGGTAGCCGGGACACACTTTATTAAAAAGTGACAACGCAGCTGCAACCTTACCTATGCTAAAAATGTCCATAGCTGACGGTTATCACTTAACATAAGAACCGCCAGCTCGCGTGCCACCTTCTTACATAAAAAAAGTCTTACTTCAAATCCGCGGATAGGGTTGGATTTATGTTACCGGTGATTGTTCCAGCGCCGGCAACCCATGGATCTACCCGGTCGTGAACTGGGGTGAGCCGGGTCCGACGTCAGCTACGGTGGCGGTGACGGGCGTGCTCCTCGTATCGCTGCATTTCGCCGTGGTGGGATTGGCGGCGATACGCGACGCCACCGCTTCCCGCTGCATCCGACCTTCGGTCATCACGCACGTGGAGGAGGGCGTGCCTCTCCGAGCGCCCGTGCAGACTGCAACGTAGCCCGGACCGTTGTCAGTCGTGTCGTCGTCTGCGCTCGCAGCCGTTCCACAAAAGCGACCGAAGAAAACGACCCAATCAATGTTCGGAATCGACGGATCGTTCGCTCCGAAATCGCGAAACTCAGTTCGCGTCGAATATTGTCATTGGCACTCTAAAAATGCAGGAAGTGTCGAAAAGATTCATCGCTACAGATTTATCGAGGAGGTTTCGTTTCCTGCATATTCACTTTAGGTACTTTTGTGTAATTATGCAAAAAAGTTTTTTGCTCTCCGCGTTTGACTGTTTTACGTTACATAACTTTCAGCAAGGTCTCGTCTGTAGGGGACTTGTTATTCTAAGATAACGCTTAAATATACAATTTTATAAGTGGTATGATTAATCTTAAGAGTAGGACAACAACAAAAACAAAAAGTATATTAAAAGAATTTTATTTTTACCTACCTTTAATAAAGTTATATTTATAAAATTAATCTGTGTTGTTATTAATTTCACTTTCTATTATTTTTTTTTCTTATCATTTACAACGAAACAAAGTTAAGCTAATTTAAGTTTAAATTGTATAATTATATTAGTAAAGTAAAGTTTTACTTTATTGCTGTTATTTTAACAGACTACTTATCATGTCCTACTGTTGAGCTAAGGCCTCCTATGTACATAGGATATTAGGGCATAGTCCTCCCCGCGACCGGACTGCGGATTAGCGGACTTCAGATATTTTCGTTTTATTTTATTTTTTTTAGAAAATATGCAGGTTTCCTCACGATGTTTTCCTTCACCGCTGTGCATGTGATAAGTCAGCACGTAAAATTAACAATTTCATTGGGTTCGGCACCGGGGATCGAGCTCACGATGCTCAATGAGTCCGGGCGGTCGCTTTTAATTCATTATAACATCTATAAGTTGTGTTATTTCTAACTGTTCTTTATATTTTGTTTAGTCTAAAACCTGCATATTTTCGAAACAATAACAAAAAATATATATATTTTGAAGATATGTGAAGTCCACCAATCCGCAGTGGGGCCGCGTGGTGGACTATGCCCTGATACCCTCTGTAGATGAGACCTTTGCCCAGCAGTGGGACATGTATAGGCTGTTACTTTTAGTCTAAAATAAGGACAATAAGATCAGTATGTCTTGATTGGCGCAATTACTAACAGAAGACTTCTGCAGTATACTGACTGATCTAGGAGTTTGTCCGTCTTCAATCTGTGTTTGAGACACAGCTCTTAAAAATGATTATCTCAACAAACTGGTCATTTCTTTGAAATTAATTGTAACAACCTACGAAATTAATTTTTTTTACATGTTTTAAGTGTCGTAACTCTTTAAATGTTTAATAATTAGAAATAAATTATGCAGATAATTATCTGTAGTGCAAATGCACAGCAATGAAACTATGTGACAACCTTACACGGAAGATACGTCAGATATTGATAGAGACATGTTAAAATGATAAATCAAAGCAAGCCATTATTAAGAAGAAGAAGAAGAAGAAAATGATAAATATCTAGGTGGCGGCAGTACAAAAGAAAAAGACATTTCGAATAATCTTGTAAATATGTACTTAAACGAAAACATGTGGGTATAATTCTATCATTTAAAAACGTAAGAACATTTAAGACAAAGATACGATCAAAATACGAACTGCGGTTTCATCGGTATTAATTACTTTGAATGCTCATCCATTGTTTCAAACTGGTTCCTTTCGTGATAAAGAATAATTTCAATTATACATTATCTCTTAATAAATAAAATAAAATTTTCCACGTTATTGTTCATTTAATGACTAAAATACATTACAGATCTTTATTGCTTTTTTTAAATACGTACATTACGTACTTTATTATTATTAAAAATAATTGTTTGTCTTTAAATTAAGAAAAAACCTTTTCCTCCTTTATCATCCACACTGAAAATGTAAACAAACTGGCCAGTAGTAGGCTAGCGTTAACAAATACTTGCGTGCAGCTTAGAAATGACCGGTACCATCGGAAAGTGCAAGTCGTGAAGCAGTCCATTGAGACAGCGTTGACATTGGCGGCGCGGAAAACGAGTTTGTATTCGCGGATCAGCTGATTACGTAAAAAAACTTCGGCACAGTTTACGCTAGTGTCTGTTGTGGGCACCAGTCCGTTGCGGCCGCGCGCGCTGCCTACATCCCTTCACTTCGCTCAACGGACGCGCGTCGAACGCGAAATATTTTCAAATTTGTTTTTTTTTACCGTCCAGTAAGAGTATCGCGTAAATGCAACAGGTGAACCATCGCTGTTTCGAAAATAAAATACGAAGGCTTTAGATGAACCCTGGGCCATAATAATGATATTATAAATCATCGATAAGAAAATCTGTCCAAATCAGTTGTGAAGGAGTTATCTCAAGACTCCGGCGACGTTAACGTACGGAATAGGAACATGTGAAATAGGTGAACAGAGATAAGGCGCGGTGATTACTCAGAGGAAAATGGTGAAATGTTCTAGGAAGAGTATCTCGCTAACGGACCTATGGATTTCTACACACGACAAGCTAAGCGACTTCCACTTGTCGTCATGGCAGCGGGGCGAGTCACCAGTTCCCATGTTGGCGGTGAGACTGGTGCTGGCTGCGGTAGCTACTGGCATCCTTATTTGGTCTATGACCAACGTCAGCCCTTACTGGCTTATTTACCTCACTAACTGGGGGCTATTACTGGTGACCTTGGCTACGTTGAGCGGACTCGTCGTCTCCGTCCTGACAATTTGCACGACCGTTTCCGGTAAGTTATATATATATATTGTGATTAGATATTAATATTTGAGTATATTTATTTCTGTTTATTCTTCGGCTAACACCTGTTATCTATCTTCATACCGTGTATCGGTCATCCAGTGAGATCTATGTTGAAGAGGAACTGTAACTAAAACACTTTAATCGTTGTCAGTACTATAGATAAATAAACGCATTCTCGAGTCACGACTGCCCAGAATGGAAAAATCAGTGCATTTATCGTCATCATTTCAATCAATCAATCATCTATTTCATCATTAGTTCATTGGGTAATTTTTAGATTAAATTCAAATTATTATTGGTGTAAAACTTAACTAAAACTTTGTGCTTTTCAAATTACGATAGATCGTTCTTATAAAAGTTGTGATCGTTCTTATAAAAGTCTGTTGTGTTTCATATAGTACCATAATTTAGACGAATAACATATACGTATGTATATTTGATATCAGGGTACTTCTCTTATACGATATATAGACCACACTTCACATTTATCTATGGTTACAATGATTTAAGATAAAAAGGTGTCGGATAAATAATAAATAGCAAATAAAAAAAATTAAATCTTTTATTCAATCGCATACACATATTTATATCAATTTTACGGTAGCTTAAATTTATTTACACATAATTTTTATTTTTAAGCTATATGTCAAACCAGGAAGGATGAATAAATAGTCTTCCATAATATAACACGATAGGTAAGAAATTGTATTAAGTATGGGCAACGAGGTCTACAAAACTACTGTATACACAAATTTTCACCAAGATTGGTACGGACATATTTATCCTGGCGTATTGTTGAATATTACTATTCAAATACATTACATCCAGGAAATATTTTTTACAATTATATATTTTAGGTTTAGGTAAAAAAATTATATACCTAACTCTGACAGAATTTAAATTTTAAAAGTTTTAGATAAAATTGTCGAAATATTTTCCGCCGCTGTTATGATTTGAACCTGCGGCTTCCGGATGCTCTTCCCACTAACGTAAGCGGTCGGTAAAATCCTCAACATAGCATGTATAAATGTTGGCAAATATGGGAGCTAGACAACTAGAAAAGTGCTTTTTCTCGCTATTTTCTAATCGAAGATAAAGAAAAGTGTTTAATAAGCGAAGTTTAATCTATTTAGTATATTTTTTCTTTTTCACTCAGTATTAATCACTCTCGATGTTTTAATAATATAATATACTGAACATTGCGAAGAAAACATCCATACAGTGTCAATTAAAGGGATCCTTAATGTGTATTAACTTGAACTTCATAGTTTGTACTGGTCAAGCCATATAGGCTGTATTTATATATATTACTAGCTGACCCGGCAAACGTTTTGCCGGGTCAGCTCAGGAGGCCGTGATGCTATGGGTAATGAAAATAAAAGTTAAAGGTAAAGAACTGTATAAAAATAAAAGTTACCACTAGATTATTAATACTCTCGTACCGCTTTACTCAAACGTATAGGGTGTAGTCTCGACAGATATTTTTGCCGAACTTTTTTGGTATCAAGTTGAATGGAGGACCTATTATCGTTTACCTGGAACAATTAATGTATTTTTCCAGCTAAATTTATAGGAAGGGCCAAGCTATAACTAGTAATAACGTCTATAACACCCTCTAAGCTTGACATCCTGATAATTAAAGTTTCATAGAAAAATCAGTTAGAGATGTAACAATTCAAACAATATATGATTAAAAATTTAACGAAATTAAATTAACGAAGTAAAAATAGTAAACATTAAGAAAGAATTAAAATAACATTACCTAAATTGTTCGTTGAACATCATTAAAATTGCGACGTCCCAAATGATGCAACGAGTTTTTCAACGACAGACCGTCAATCGTTATTGGTATGGGGCGATTTTGCAACGCCCTGTATGCTATGGCCGGCGCAGGTTGCGCTAGCTGACCTCTCGGCTAGTTTACATTGTGTTGCAATTGTACCTTTGGTAAATCCAGCCAAACTTGAGTCATCAAACATGTCTCCCTTATAGATGAAGACTGAACGATGTAAGGGTTTAAAAGTTCTAAAATAAGAAAATGTTAAAAATTGGGACAATAGATTTACGTTAACAATACAAATCTGATTTAGGATGGTCCCAAGCAATTACAAATATTAACTGCAATATTAGGATGGTCCCAAGCAATTTGTCACGTGGTTATGGAATAAACAGTATCTATATTCGAAGTTTTTGAGGCTCCGTACCCAAAGGATAAAATTGAATCCTATTACTGAGACTTCACTGTCTGTCTGTCCGTCTGCCACCAGGCAGTATGTGATGAACCCTGATAGTAAGACTAGAAAATTTCACAGACATGAAAACAAATACGTACTATAAAACAGAATGATTATTTTTTTCTTTTTTAATAAACACTGCCTTTTAGGATAACTTTATCCTGTTTTGTAATAACGTTTTACAAACATAAGTTTCACGCGAACAAACACCCAGATGCGAAATAACTATCTGTGGGTCACACAAATACTTGTCCCGAGTGGGAATCGAACCCACGACCCCCGACACCGAAACCAATACCTTGGCCGCTGCGCCATGGAGTCACCGAAAAAGAATAAAAAATATTTAAGTAAAGGCTCCCATACAATAGACTTGATTTTTTTGCCGTTTTTATAGATGAGGGTACGGAGCCCTTTGTGCGCGAGTCTGACTCGCACTTGGCCGATTTTTATAAATGTAAATCCTGCCAGGCAGCAGTTAGGTTGCGTGGCGAACTACGCTCTGATACCCTACGTACAGAGTTAGACTTTGTTCAGCACTGCCTGTATTTACATGCAGCGTTTATTACTGAAAGGAAAAAAGTCTGATTAAGAATAATTTGATATATGGATTTACCAAAGGTCTTTTACCAAGGCTTGGATGTTATTTAATCCGGCCATTTATCGTAATGGGTTTTTTATACACTTTATTCAGGGAAGTCAGACTCACGATAAGGTCGTGCCTTGGAATCCCACTGACGTGGACCAATGAAAAAATTATAAATCTATTACATACAAAATTCACTGTACTTTGAATAACCTCTATGAATCGTGGAAAGCATAACTGTGTCTGTTTGATCTGGATAAATTAAAAGTTGTCTTTTTTTTACTTACAAATTAACCAGAGCTTGACTACGGCTCTCTTGACAATAAGTTAAGAAATCATTGATTGAGGTGATGAACCCCAAGCTCGTATGAGGATGCCACGGTGTCACTGTGTGTGTTAGGCGCTGTGTCGCCTGTACAATAGTGTACTGCGCACGGCGGACTTCCCCTCTGAGTGGAAAACCGGCAAGATCATCGTCCTGCCGAAACCGAGCAAGGCCCGACGACTTCCGGCGAGCTACCGACCTATTACGCTACTGCCGCACGTAGCGAAACTTTTTGAACGGTTGCTGCTGCGGAGAATAGTTCCCTGCATTGAGCTACGCAGGGAGCAGTTCGGATTCCGCAGCGGCCACTCCACCACAGCGCAGCTGGCCCGAGTGCTGCACTATCTTGCAGCCCAGTACAACAGGGGCCGCATCTGTTTGGGGGTCCTTCTCGATATTGGAGACCTTGGAGCAAAACGCTTCCGGTTGGGATGAAGACGTACTGTTGGCCCTGTACGCGGACGACAGTGCGTTCTTCACGTCTTCATACAAGGCGGCGATTACGGCGAGGAAGATGCAGCGCCAATTGGACCTGCTGCCCGAGTGATTGGATAAGTGGCGGATGCCTGTCAATGTTGACAAGACGTCCGCCATCTACATCCACCACATCAAATACCAACCCACGCTTGAGCTGCGAGGTCAAGCCATAACGAACCAGAACACCATAAGGTACCTTGGGTGCCGGATAGACCGCTCGCTGAGTATGGCGCCCCAAGTCGAACATTTAGTTCGGCAAGCCAGGGCAGCTCGAGTGGTCCTTTACCCAATACTGGCATCCAAGCTACCTGTTAAGACGAAACTGGTTCGCGCTTGACCTACGCCGCTCCGCCGTGGTACGCACTGGTTTCCGCCTCGCAGAAGCGCAGGCTCCAGGTGCAGCAGAACCTCGCCCTTCGAGCAATCGTGGGGGCCGGGCGTTACGTAATCGCCCGAGATCTTAAGATCGAGTCCATCAAGAAGTTTGTGGTCCGGTTGGCCCGTCGGATGTACAGGGCCGACAACGGACCACACCCACACCTAGAAAATATCGCTCCACTCCACGCCCGTCCTCCTGACGAACGCCCGCTCCCACGAGAGCTGCTGCGGTCGGAACAGGCCATTGGGGGGCCAGACCCGACCGCACTTCCGCCGCTGTGTCGAAGACGATGTATTCCTCGCGTTACACACCGCGTGTAATGCCGTACACCCGCAAGTGCCGCTACCGCGGTCAGGGAAAGGGATGGCCGATGGCCATCCTTACCACCGACCAGCCATTCGCTGGTCGAGATACACGCCCGAGTAATGGGGACAAGGCCCCGAGGCTCGTATATGCAGGGCCTTTGGCCAACTGCAATATATCGCTCGTATGAGGAAGCTCAAAGTCGCTCAGCTAGCCATGGAGCGGGCTATGCTCAGTATTTCTCTGCGTGATAGAGTTCGCAACGAGGACAAGAACAAAGATAACCAATATAGCTCAGAAGGTTAGTGCTTACTAACCTTCTGAGCTATATTGGTTATCTTTGTTGAAGTGACGATGTGCCGGCCACATAGCTCGTAGAACTGATAACCGTTGGTGAAGAAAGGTTCTCGAGTGTCAGCCTCGTTCTGGCCATCGCAGTGTTGGACGACCCCCCACTAGATGGAGAGACGACCTGTGTGATGACCTGTACAAGTGTGCGGTGAAGTCGATGGATGCAGGTGGCTCAGGATCGTGCTTCGTGGCAGTCAGTGGGGGAGGCCTAAGTTCAGCAGCAGCAACTCCAACAGGCTGAAATGTTGATGATGATGATGAAACCCGAAGCTCATTAAAATCGCATTCGCTCTCGACATTGTGTTATCCATAAATATATTTTGCTTGTATATCAAAATATAAAAGTACTAATGTTTCGATTTTATTTGCCAGATGGTGCTGAACTGCCGTGGTTCGTTAGCATGTACTGGTTCATGTACAACATCGCAACAAGCATTGCCGTCATGATCACCGCTCTCTATTGGATCCTACTCTATGACCCAGGTGTGTACATAAGTGTAAATGTTAACTACTTTAACAGTTTTTTGGCGGTGTTTTTTTTTTATATTAGTTAGTTATGTAAAAGTCAACACAGTCAATATATTCTAGTCAAAATAAAGAAGACTCATATTTTTACCCTTATGTTGGAGTTACATAAAGATAAACCGTTCCTAACATGGAAAGCTAATTTGTAATGAGATGATGATGTTACCTAAATGATAAAAGGTTTCAAATTACAAGTAACACCACAAAAGCATTATGAGACAAAACATTGTGAATTTAGGCGTATCATTGTCACAATATAGTGTTCAAATAACGAGCTTTGCCCAATAATTTATCATCGTAATAAATTAAGAAAAATCTGAGGAATTCATCGTATATTTTATTAACCGTACCCATGTATTTTTTGCGACAAAATTCTCTTAAAAATTAGCTGCAAAAAATTACTCATTCCAAGATGAAACAAACATAATAAAATTATATTTTACTTCTGTAATCAATTTTACAGTTTTATTTTTATTAGGCGGCTTTATCGTATAATGCCGCTTGTTTTGTTTTATTCCGTCTTAAGCTTATTTACGCATCATAATTGCATGTCAAGATAATTAATCTATTTAATTTACCTTAATATTTTATAGCCACTTGTTTGTATTGATTAAACGTATGACACATAAAGCAAACTACTTTTAGTACATTAATTTAATCTATAGCTTCATTACTAATTAGTTCCGGCTAAATCATCAAAATTAAATATCCGACGGGCCAAGCGCCAAGTACGCCGTAGGCATATAGAATGTCTATATTAATGCACGTTGGAAATGCCACTTAAAGGTTAACATTTTTTCCGTGACATAATGTAAGTACCCTGCGCCCATGCGGATCTGCGATGTTGGAACTCGATATTGATCCCTGATTAACAGCTACTATTAAAAGTCAATAGATGGTAGATGGCAGCGATAGGAGTTTTAAAAAGGTCGGAGGCATAGACACATAGAATTTGAAGGCCTTTAGGAAAAAAACATACACTAAAATTCGAAATTTTTGGTTCCTGATAAGGCGAGGTAAAAGGTTGTCGAAACATCTTCTATCTGAGTTTTGTATTAAATATGCTGTTCATAAGGTCTTGCTCAGCTATTGGCTTCGGTACTGAAGATCATGAGTTCGATTTCCTACGGGAAATAACAAAATAATTTGTGTGAACCACAGATAAATTGTAAAACGTCAACAAAGCGCCCGGTCGTAAAAAACCTAATCAATACCATGTCACATAAACTGTCTAATCTTAGGTTAAAAATCTAAAAATCGTTTCAATAAATAAATACTGGTGCCGACTTTCATACTGATCAGTCAAACGGTGTTGGAGTTGATTTACAAACAACCATTTTAATACGTATAAAAATAAAGATTTCCGTTATATAAGAAAAATCTGATGTACAAACGTTATCAAATAAATGTAACAAAGTGACACTATCAGAAAGTGCGCAAGCATACTTTGTTTACCTACTACAATGCAGGCAACGCTATCAATAGTGTCTGATAAAACCAGATGTGTGATGTGTGATGATGTGTCTGGTGAACCTGTCAGACGTTGAACTGTTCGGTGTAAGCTCAGTAAAATTAATTGTTATATGATTGCTTATATTTTAAAACACAGAATAAAATATTTTGGAAATGTATTGTTTGAATCTTCAATCGGATTCAAACAAACAGACAGCTGATATAAAACACCTATAATAAAATAAAAAAAATGTAATGTAAATGTACTATATAGAAAACAATATCAAGAGAAATCGAACACAGATCCTTAGTCTCAGTAGACATTAACATTTACTTGTGGTACTCCCAATCCTCGACGGATCATCAAGCTACTTTGTCCACACTCAATCCTTTCACGGTATCATTTTTTTCACAAGCTAGGTCGAAGCCCTACCCTCATTCATCGCTAGATTAAACGCGCTCCCCAGTGTTTGCGAGGCGGGGGCTATCATAAAGCAAACGTGTTAGAATACTTTGATGCGAAGTGCCAGTGTAGAATGTATCACGGCATATAAGTATTTTTTTTTCATCGTGATCGCTGCCACGTCATAAATATCACCTCTTTGTCACCTTTTGTTCGTCGACCGAAATAAATAAATATTTGTCATCAAATCACGAATTCTTAATACGTAAAATGGTAGTAGCTGCCAAATCTTGACAAAAAAAAAGGTATTTTAGTGGTTTATTTAATCTACGTCTAAGAAAAAGATAATTTTGACGATTGTTCAAAAGTTAAGTTCGTCGGCGCAAATGTAACCTACCCGCGCACTCCTGTAGGTTCTAAACTTCTAATTAAGCTATATATAAGTATATACATATAAAATAGACACTTGTAGGAGTAACAATAAGTTTTCTTGTAGTTAAATTCTATCATTATATGCAACTTAATCAATCGTAATTTTCCGATGTTTTTTACCTTAATGATAGTAATGAAATAAAGTATTTACCTAAGTTTTTCACACGCTTTGTTTGCTCAGATTATACTTTTATTGAATACTTATGGATAATGAATTGAACTGTGTCTTTTCTTGAAGTTATACTTCTTTTAGCACGTTTGGAAAAATTATGACGGTAAAATTTTTACGATGTGCGCGCACACCGACAGCCAAAACGACATGATGACGTTGGATGCAATGTTAACAACTTCACGGTATTACCATGGCAACCAATAACAACTTTTTGACCTGTACTTCCCTAGTCGTTAGTTAGTCGTTATCAATTGCATTTACTGTCTTTTTCACAAACTTAGAGAACTATCATAGGGGATAACATTTTTAGTTATTTTACTTATGTAAGTTTTAAAGTACCCTATAACTTCTTACGTGCGTTATGTACGTATATCCTTTTTCCCCAGGATTCCCTGATCTACAATTCAACTGAGAAATTATTATTAACAAATCAAAGTATTTACTACATATTTCTTCACGAGTTCTGTGTAAATAACACAGAGCGGGTTCAGCTATTGCATTAACGGGCTGATTAGTTCGAGAAAGTACCTCAATCTCGGACGTAACGTACTTCCATATACTTTTGTGTTTAGTTTGATGAGTGAGCAAGGCCCACTAAAAGATTGCCCCGAGGCTGTGGTGGATTACATAACACATTCTACAGCTGTTCTACAACTGTCAAATCAACAACATTTTTTTTAAAGTCTTTATATTTTTTCAGAACAAACGCAGTATGAGGACCCGAGCGGATTTTGGCTCGACGTCGCGACGCACGCTCTCAACTCGTGCATCATGGTAATCGAACTGGTGGCGTCCAGGACACCCGTGCGTTTGCTCCATTTCTACCAACCTCTGGGAATCGGGCTGTGGTACGCGGCCTTTTCTGGCGTGTACTACGCGGCGGGAGGCACTGACAGGTGAAAGTCCTCACATGAAACTACCAATTATGACGATCTTCGACTTGCTTTTATGCCTTAAAACGAAGAGTTAATGTTATTACGAGCATGCCTGCTAGGACTTTGCACTAATTAAGTAATAGATTTATTTTGAATCTGTAATACATTTTTTCCCATATTATGACACCACCGGTTAACGGTAAGCATAGAGGTTCTAACGTGATTCTGGAATTTAAAAAATCCATTCACCACAAATTCCAACAAATAAATTTAACCACTGTAATTTCATAAAGATAAAATAGAAATATATAGTAGTACAATTAATATACTCAATGTTAAGACGACGGCCATGACGACCGAAAATATGTACGTTTCAGACAAGGAGATTTTATTTTATAGCACAACCTAATTCATATAAATTATTTTCTTTTAATTTAATCCTATCATTATATATAGCTAGTTTAATCGCAATTTTCAGATGTTTCTTACATTATGTTACTAATGAAATAGAACAATAATTTACCAAATAATTACCTAACAAGTTATTCACACGATTAGTATGCTCAAATTATATTTTTACTTAGATAACTACTTTTTAACTGTTTTTTATTGATTAATGGCATTGCTTCTCATTTTATTAACAACAAACATTTTCAATCGTTTTCAGTAACAACAACCCGTTCATATACGAAGTATTAGATTGGCGGCAGGGTGGCCGAGCGGGCGTCATGGTGGGTGCTTCCGCTGCCGGCTTGATAATCGTTTACATTTTAGTATGGGGCGTATCACTCTGCAGAGAAAAGCTCTCCTTGGCAATAGTTCGCACGACTAGTCACAACCTGCCCTTAGTCCCAGCCGACTCCCTTACGCGGATCGCTTGATTTGTGCTACTTTGGGACGTGACATCACCAGCACATTAAGCGATCGGAAATATTTGAATATTTCAATTTTCTATATCGTTTCGATTGAGCATCTGAACAAATTCTTATTTCAATCGACGCTCAACTCTACATTAACGCGTGCTGAGGCTTATGCCTTTAGTTATTAGAATGAAAGGGTCGTTCAATTATATGCATTTATATGAATATATAGAAATTGATTATTAGAAGTGAGCAGTACGCGCACCAATAATAATGTGGTAGATACAACAAAGAAGCGCTTACTGTTTTGCCATTCGTGTTAAACCGAATAATTTTCAGTGTGCCTCGTAATTATGCTAAATATTTAATATTAGAAACGAAGTTCTTTTTGGCGCTCGAACATGACAGCCGCTCTTTTTTGTAATCTACTAGTAGGTATGGAATGGCAGTAAAACTGAATTAACTATCTGTTAGTCGTAGATTATTTGACCTTGACGGATATTTAAGATTTCGTAGAAGATTACAGTTTAGTATGAGTTTTAAGTATTTGTTAAAAATGACAAAATAAATGTTAATATACCATAAAATAGCAACATTGTGCAAGCATCTATTTAGACGAATAAACTCAACGAAACCTTAAAACTATTGTTGTACAAAATACTCGTAAAATGTGTATTATACGCGTAGTAGGGGAGAAAGGGGTAATGGGGGTCACTTAAACACTTAAGTAATAAAAAAGCTTGAAACAGAATCTTTATTGCAACTGCCTCATAACAAAATCTACTTACTTGGCTATCATTTGAGATCAATGGTCATCACATTTTCAAATCAGCTTTGGGAAATAAAAGAGTTAAAAAAAAACAGTTTTGACTCCTATTGCACCCAGGTAAGGGTAATTGTAGTCACCTTGTGGGCAATGAAAAACCTAACACAAATTTCAAACATATCCCTCAGCGGACTCCGACCCAGAGCAATGTGCATGAGCCCATAAACCACATGAGGTACACCTGTACCACACCTCATTATTTTGTCCGAGTAAGCATTTATTATCTAAGTCGTCAGCATCATTTAACTCATCATCTTGGGTATCCCTTGATTACTGAAGAACTTTTCTCTTTCGGGCCCCTTCTTCGGCAATTTCGTCTTTCCTGGACTTACTTTCCCTTAGTTTTATTTTTGAAAATTTACATCGGCGAGCCGTAAAAACAAAAATTACCTCTCGTTCACGATACCATTACCATACGTTGCGACGGGCACAGATCGGGATAGGGAGGCCATTTATTCGTCTCTAGTGGTTGAAGTTTTGTATATAATTATGTGAGTGACCACCATTACCCACTGACTCCCATTGTTCCATCTTCCCCTAGCCATACACAATGTTATAGACTGAAAATAGGTATAAAACGTTATGTTTCAGTAAAAGAGAAAACTTTTACTGTAAAATTTGACTTCACTTCAAGATTATAGATGTTTAATATTACTAAGCAAATTACGAAAACAAACGCAGGACGTCACAGCTAACGAATCGCGTCAAAAATAGTTTTTTATAAGTACTTAAACATTATTATATTAATGGCAGCTTCTTATATAGTTTTTTAATAGGACCTAAATATGTTATAATGAAAGAAACTTAAGGCCTAAATTTAAGAAATTCAGCTTAACAAAAGTAATGCACAATAGGTACTGTTATACATATCGTAGTTTATTAGGACGAGTGATGAAATTTTATAACGATAATAATTTTTACTGCCATTATATATAAATTTATAATTATATAACATGGTTAATTTTATAGTTTTTATAATTAACTATATATATTTAACTGTCACAAAGTTAATTTCACAGCATTGACCTTTCCTCGGTAATTGTAGGAAATTGCATTGAACATGAAAGGTTTTTGCTTTAGATGTAGATACATTGAACTTTAGTATACGCTACGTATACCTCAAGTGTTATTCTTTTTGTACATTAAAAGTTCTTGACATTACACATTTTGTTTCATTCAAAAAAGGACTCCACTTATGTGTGAATTGCATGAAAACTAGTTATATATGATTTTTGGTGTTTTTCAAGGTTTTTCTGAAGTATTAGCGGCGCCAAACCACATCCAAAAAATTTATAAGATTGTAGCCCCTGTGCCAACCTGGTGGGCCACGACCACGATCATTCCCTTCACCAAAAGAAACGTAAATAATAAAGAATTTTACTTTGCACTAATTATCTCCGAGGCCGGCGTACTTCCGCGGGCGAAACGACCCACTATCGCAATAGCAGAAACTGCTAGGTTGACGTAAACGGCGTGGTACACGCTGAAAAAACAGATTGTCTTATAACCCGTTGAAATATTCTGATGTTACACTAATGGGCAGGCTTCGCGTCTGTTGAGTGAAGTAATCGGAGGCCCATTGGTTTAAACAAAAGCTGTATCAATATTCCATTCATTAAAATAAGATCGACCGGAATAAGGTTTAGGTGTGTGATAATAAGAAATACGATTGGTTATCTAAAACATTTATTTCTATATAGCGAAATCTGCAATTAAACACAAAGCAACCAATTACAATACAATTCATAACAAAACTAAATATGATATGTGATTAATTAAAGTTTGACTTAGCGCGTCTGTACTGTGAGAACATGTGATCATAATATTATTTACCAAATTATATAAACAAAACATTAGTATAGCAACAACTTAAAATAAAGCTTATCCATAAATATAATTTTGATTTGACGTCGCCGCTCCTTATTTGCGGAAATAGTATTAAGAGCGACAGATCCTTTACCATACATGATTTAACCCCAAAATAGATTAATCATGCAATAAGTATAAATAATGCGACAAAGGATTTCCGATTCCATGACGCACAATTTTATTTCCATCGCAAATAAACAGCTGCGACGTTCGATAATAATTTTAACAAAACATTTCAATTTTGGACAACAGTCTCAAAAAATAAGCCTTCTTACCGTATGTGTATATCCAAAAATATATTTTATATACATTGTTCTTAAGAGCTAAAATCGTAAAACTACGTTAGTCTTACAGGCGGTGCTAAGCTCCGTCACATCAGACAGTCCACGTGAATTAGCTTCAAAGGATACATACACATGGATAAATGCGCCATAAAATGTCATATTAATATATATAATTTATTGCTTATAAACAAATTAAATTTAAAGGAGGCGTCATAGTGAAAAAACGCGGGCGTCAAAATCTGCTGTGATTATCTATGGTCGATATAGGTTAAAAATATATCAAGTTATAAAATGCCAGGTTATTATTATTATTTATATTTATCATGGTTTATATTTAGTATTTCCAGTTATGAAATTACCGGATTTAAAGTTTACCCTTAACAGATTTGAAAGTTATTAAAGCATATGGCCCACAATGAAAAACGTTTTCAAATGAATTCCGAGAAATTATTGCTCCACTTTATAATATCTATCCATCGTCGTACATTATGAGAAGTTCTAATAAGTGTACCATAAACAGCTTACTTTTCACGTAATCAGTTCAAAATCGACCAAAAAGCATTGAGTAGAATTCTGTGTTACACAAGCCTGTAATATACAGCGTGTCTTTACCAACCCGACAATAAATGAACATACATATAGAGGATAACTTTTTAAAATTGTATTTAACATTTACTTTCTTTAAACATCAATATTTACAGAGTTATTAAATTTTCCAAAACAAAGAATTTTAGAACACCCTTACGTATAAAACTGCAACGTAAAGTTCATTCGTAAAGGTCACGAAGCATATGAATGGGTTGAATGAATTTAAAAGAGACAAAACATACTGTTAGAAGGAGAGGCTTGTAATGCGACGCTGTGGCAACGAATGAAAAAGTCTCTGAATGTATGACTCAGTCAGTTGTAGTTGTATAGGTGTTACAAATTGTTTTCTTGCAATTGTTTGTTTCCTTTTTACTTAATTAGTTTGTTTGAGAAATATTTTTTTAAATTATGGATTTTATTTAACGTTAATATTTTTTATGATTATTGGCAAGTAGCGTTAGACGTGTGTTCATTTATTGTCGCGATGGTAACGACACGCTGTATATTAAAAGTTCACTAACTCTTTTTAACAGATTGGTAAAAATAATTCAGTACATAATCAGGACACTATACAGAGAACATTGATAATTATCATGTTAGCAGACAAATCAACCTAACAACATGGGAAGAAGCGCTCTAGAGCGAGACAAACCTAAATGCGCTTCCGCACTGTAGTCAAAATCACCGTCTGTTCCACAACATGTATCAACGTGTAGACTACAATATTCGGTTTGGGAATTAAGATAGGTTTGACTAACCTATTTATGAAAGCGAATGAGCTGGCGCGTGAACCCCAATACTCAACATTCTTCAAGACTTTATCTAGACATAACCACTACATTCTACTTCACAATAGATAAGTTTTATTTAAATCGGTATCACACACAATCGATTTTACTACGATAGAAGAATTCATTCGAAGGCAATTCCGAGATCAACAGTTATACAAGATTTTTTATTCAGTTAGGCAAAAGTTCTCTACCGAAGATGTAGCAAACTAGAAATTAACAAAGTGAAACTTTCAATACAGTACTTCTAAACTACACAATTACGCAAGTAAATATATAAGTTTATATAAATTGACATTAATTGCCAATAACTCTCCATTATTTTAGTGCACCGTCCAAAAGCGACCTTACCGTATTATCACAAACACTTATTATAGTTGGACACGATACAAACACTAAAATATCGACTCAAACTTTTTTTTTATTTGAAAAGTTGCCAAACGAGCAGATGGTTCACCTGATGTTAAGTGAATACCGCCACCCATGGACATCTGCTACAGCCGAGGGTATGCAGATGCGTTGACAACCTTTTTGAAAATTGGGCTCCGGCTACCTCACTCACCAGACGAAACGCGAAAGTATTATACTTCCACTTTACGCCGGTCTTCTGTGAGGTCGTGGGACTTACCCGGACGGGCCTGCCCATTCGTGCAACGGCCGAGGCTGCTGCGTGGCCCTACCACTGTAAAATACTTTGAAACCTCGTATACTTCGAAAATTATTAGATTTAAAGAATTGACTGACGATTGTATATTAAATCTAAAATACTCACATTTTGGTATTGCAAAGCATTAATTCTCATTCAAATGAACTAAATTAGTTTTTTTTTATGTGAGAAAGTGGCAACCGAGTTGACGGTTCACTTGATGTTAAGTGATAACCGCCTGTCCATGAACATTTGCAACACCTATAGGATTGTAGATGCGTTGCCACTTCTTAATGAAGTGGGCCCCGGCTACCTCACTCAACAAACGAAACGCAGAAGTGTAACACTACTACTTGACGCTGGTCTTCTGTGAGGTCGTGGTACTAACCCGGATGGACCTGCCCATTCGTGCAACGGCAAACACTGTTGCGTGGCCCTACCACCAGAAATTCAAGGTTTTTTTTTATATTTCCCCAAACAGCCATGCCAAAATAAGCAGAATCGTCTAAACGGTATCAAATAACAATCGCCAATATCGTTGTATTAATTTAGTTATAACATTTTTAACTTCGTACAAAATTTAAAGTTTGACTTTGGAAGACGATTATAATTTCTCTAAGTAAGGTAACTTGAAACGACCTAATTTAAAAGCTAAATAAAGTACAAAAAGTTACCTGAAATACCGAGTAATACCGAAAGTAAAATCATAATAGTAGTATTGCACCCCAATAATATAAAATTCATAAATTTCGATATATATATATATATATATATATATATATATGCACAATCATTTGTACCGTGGTTCGTTTACAATTTTTCTAGCTCTATTAGATGAGAAATTAAACTACACACCCCAATGTTATCTGAAACACCAAATTCTAAAATACAAAAATATCGTCTAAAACACCAAAACCGAACGTACACTGTAATAATTTTGCAACTAATAACTTATATAGTATATTCTTCAATACGTTCACGAACTTCAATAGCCGTGTTTACTAAGTACTGACTGAACAATCGAACAAGTAAAATTTTATTTATATTCTTCTCTAAAACACAACGCCGACTTTTTTTCTGCTGGTTCAAAAGGATAGTACATTAAAAAAATTTGCTCCGCTTTTTTACGAGTGCAGTTTTAAACATTATCAGAGGGGAAACCTCTCATTCCCGTGTTTAAACCGACTGTAGCTTTGTACAGAATAGGAAACTCTTTATAAACATTGATCTGGGCGACATACAACTGAAATGTTACTAGTTTTACACAAACAAACTTATGAATAAGGTAAACGTGATACACAATATAAAAGCTGTATATAAAAATCATATAATGCTATTTAATATTGACTACATAAATATTGACTACTTATTTGGATGTGCATTAATGATTAAATATATTAGAATGTTGTGCGAACATAAAGTGGTGCGTACACAGGATACGTACGCCTACAAACGCTGGTGGCACACGAGGACACTGAAGTAACTTTGAGCACGAGCCTAGAATGACCAGCATTAGGTGAGCTCCTCGCCGCTCAGCAGGAACACGCGGAATGAAGACTCGTCTACAGCGTCCGTATACATCAACTCCTCCTACGATTGAAAATCTAAACATTAATTTCTCGGATTATAGAACTAGCAACTCGTTTATTAACAATTTTTTAATTTTCCAAATTAATCAATTCAATGCTCTTACTAATTTACATATCTGCCCTTGAAATGCGCAGATATGTAATTAAATAATTATGTAGAATATCTCCAAATGCTCAGCTGCAAATAAAATTACACACGGACAAGGACTTAATAAATCCGACCTAGTCTTAGAAGAGGATCTTAGTTCTTATTTTCTTATCTGTCCTTATAATCTATATAAAGTTTTCTTTCATTATCTGTGCTAGACTTGAATAGTCTGTGGATTGATTACGATTTCTTTGTAAGGGTTTTAAGTCCCAACGACCACTGCGACCAAGAACGTCTATTGTAGTCTATAATCTGTGGATACATTACCTGCATGAGATCTATAGTAGGGTGGGCGTCCATTAGGCCGAGGTCGTCCGTCAGGGCGCCTGTACCCCCGCCCACTCCGGAAGCCGCCCCTCCCACCATACTTCTAAAATTTGTATTTATATATTTGAAAAAAAAAACCATTTGAAATTAGACGAAAAAAACTGTTGTAGGTATTTACCTACGTATAAAACTGTAACTTAAAGGACTGTAACTTTCGTCTTCGGACGAAAATGTTTACGCCGTTGCGAGTATTGGAACCTGTATCCTAACACACTTTGTACAGTGGAGGTCTTCCGTCTAGCAGTGGGACATCGTGTCGTTTCAATCGCGGCAATAAATGAACACACGTCTAACGCTACTTACCAATAATCGTAAAAAAATATAAACGTTAAAAAAACCATAATAAAAAAAATTCTAACAAGCTAATTAAATAAAAAAGAAATAAAATTTGTAACATCCTGTACAAGTACGACTGACTGATTCATACATTCAGAGACTTTTTCATTCGTTGCCACAGCGTCGCATTACAAATCTCTCCTTCTAACAGTACGTTTTATCTCTTTTAAATTCATTCAACGCATTCATATGCTTTGTGACCTTTACAAATGAACTTTAAGTTACAGTTTTATACGTAAGGGTGTTCTGAAATTGATTGTTTTCGAAAATTTTGTAACTCGCTAAATATCAATGTTTAAAGAATGTAAATGTTTAATACAATTTTAAAAAGTTATCCTCTATATGCGTGTTCATTTAATGTCGCGGTTGTAACAACACGCTGTATACATACCGTGTTACTTTACTTTTGCTCCACTTAATTATTTTTTTCTGTTTCCGACCTCTTACATTAGACACAAAAACCACGACACAACAAGTCCATTTTCATCAATGAAAAACAAAACCGACTATTATCATAGAATTACTACTATTATATTATTATAGACTATTATTATAAAATGAATACAGAGCGAGATATTTGATTTCTCGCTTTGTATTCATTTTAAAATTGATTTTCAAGAGTACCCTAAGTATCTCCGGAGCCCAAGATCCAATACCAATGAAATTAATATGGGCCAAATCGGAAGCACCATCTTTCAAATAAATAAAGAATCATCAAAATCTGTTAACCCAGTCGCAAGTTATGAGGTCGAATTGAGAACCTCCTCTTTTGAAGTCGGTTGAAAAAGGGCAATTCACCTGATGTTGTCAGATTGCCAAACGTGGAAAGAGTGGCTCTCGTATACCTTACTCACCAGAAATGCTTAAGTATAATATTTTGACACTGGCAAATACCTATAAACCGCCACAAAATAAAAATAAAAAGAAGAAATTCTCCTGTCAGACGCCTCGAGAGGGAAAATTATTCGAATATGTATAATATTAAGCTCAAATAATAACCCTAAAACATTTAATCAATAATAACCGCAACATGACTATGGGGCTAACAAAAGAATAAAAAAACCCGGATAATATAATCATTTAAAAGTTTTTATAAAAGTTTTATAATCGACATTAGATTGAATAGACAGGACTTACTCGCTGTCTTCGTTTGTGAGAACGTTTCCATGCAGGAACAAATCACTGCGGATCGTGTATATGTTGTTCTCCGAACTCTCCGATTGCTCGACCTGGACCCCAGAAATGTTTTCGTCACAACCCTGGGATTAATAAATAAATAATATTGCTAATATTTTTTTTATGTGAGAACGTCTGTGAGATCGTGGTACTTCCCCGGACGGACCTGCCCATTTGTGCAAGTGAAGACTTTTACGACTGCCCTGCCAAATAACCAAGCAATCAGCTAAACGGTTGATTACCACACCGACAAAAATCTCAACGTCTTTTAGCATTCAAATAATTTCGAATATCGTTTAACAATTTATCTATTAACCTCACATTTCCAATTTAAAAACGGCATTTAAGTTTCTCGCCACTTCAACTTCGGAATATTCCGATACAAGTAAATAATTAATTATAATTAAAAAATTAAAAATAAATACTCGATAATTATTAATTAATTAAAATTAAAAATAACTACTCGATAATTTTGTCTCCTGTTGTTCCTTGGCGTACTAGTTTAAATCGCACTTAACCGTTTTTTTTATTTATGTTGATTTTAAATTTTGTGATTAAGTGAGGGCTACTAGACAAGGAAATGTTTACTTTGTTCGTTTACAAATACTATGTAATAATGTAATAATTGTTATTTTCTTACATTCCGTGATTATTCGGCAAAATTATCGAGTTTTTGGCCGAATACGGACACATATAGTTGCGCCGAATAAACCGAATACAAACATTCGTCGCACCGACCTGCGTGTCCTCCAAGACGTAGCCGCCCGCGCATTGGCTGTAGCCGCTTTGGTCCCTCGGCAGTGGCCAAGTGCAGTGCGTTCTGGCCGCGTGCTGCTCCCCCAACTCGTCTTCCGCCACCGCCTCCGCCTTCGTCCCTGCCTCCGCTTCCGCTTCCGCCTCCGCTCCCGCGTGCACTCCGTCCACCGCCTCGCCCTCCACTGCCATCACCACTCCCACCTCGCCGTCCATACTGGCACCGTACTGCACAGGCGCCTCGTGTAACAAACTTACCTGTGGAAGAAACATGATCATATTATTATATGCCATAATTGACACCGTACCACAGACGATTTGAATCTAACACACGCACGTAACGTACAATTCAATAATGTTAGTGGATTGAAAAAACATTAAAAATTCACTGCAAATAAAAGCTGTATTTAACATACGAATGCAGTACTACGCGCGATATTGTGTATAATGTCTTATTCAATATGAAAAGGTGACTACTTACTGTGAATGTGTTGTTGACATTTGGCTCCACTAAAGTGGTGTTCAAAATCTCAGTTTTTTCTTTGTTGTGTACCTTCTTCATGTGCATGTACAAGGAACTCATATTGTTGAAACTCTGTTGACAACCTGTAGGAAATAAATATATATATCACTGTAAAACCTTATAAACCTAACAAGGAATGGTTGTCAAATTAAAAAATAGGATAAGGATTACGAAACTAGAATTCGGTGGGGTGAAATTAAATTTAGACATAGGTAGTCATGTATCAGAATAAAAGAACGTCCAACATGTTGGGTAGCTATAGTCTAACTTAGATATATCATAGAAAAAGAATATTATTAATCTTCTACAAAAATAAACTTTATCGTTAAACTTTCTCGGGCCGTGAACTTTCTTTATCACTTCATAGAAAGCGAATCAACTAAATTTCGATTATTACATAACCGCCAGCGTGATAAATAAAAACCATCACCTCCATAATAAATATACGGGAAACATATAAAAGCTTCGTTTTTAAGAACGATCACAGACAGAATATATCAAAGACATTTTTTAAATGCACATGGACGTATAAAAAATGTACGCAGCAGACAAAGAAACGGTATGTAAGAGAAAAAAAAGTCAGGTCAACGACAGCTTCTAGCTGTTTTGTGCCTAGATTCAACGAACGGCCGTTAGTTACATAGCTTCGTAACTTTCATGACGACTTGTAGATTAACGGGACGCTAGTAACTCACTATCCGTAGGCAATGCAACGGCTCGTAAGGAAAACGCCTCGTAATTTTCATAACAAGTCGTTATGGAAATTACGCAGCTATGTAACTAGCGGGCGTCCGTTGAATATGGGGAGCGGGCATAAAAGAGGCGAGGAGCGACCTGGGTGCGCGCAGGCGTGCGGCGGGCGGGCGCGCGGCGCGTGCTGGCGCGCGTGGTGCTCGCGCAGGTGCTCGCGGCGCAGGAAGGCGCGCCCGCACGCGCCGCACGCGTGCCGCCGCTCGCCCGTGTGCCGGCGCGCGTGCCGCACCAGCTTGCTCGCCGTGCGGAACGACCAGCCGCAGTTCTGCAATGTTCCGGTTCCACGACGGAGGGAACGGAGGGATTTTAAATATAAGTTCAGTACTTAGTTCACTGGCTCACTATCTATATATATATAATTTCGTGCCACGATCTATGTTCACGATAAACTCGGAAACTACTGAACCAATTTTTATCAAATTTTGTAAGCGTTTGTAATTTGGTCCAGCTTGGGGGATAGGGTACTTTTTATCTCAATATTGTTATTGAAAATTATTTGTTTATTCTAACAGATGGCGGTGTAAGATTAGATAGTGATAGATTTATCGACTGGATTGAATAAGTATCCGATAGATGGCGCTATGCTAAAAGTAGAAACGCATGAACCCGGTAGAAGTGGCGCAGACGAAGTTGCTAGTTTTCTACAAAAGGTTGGCAACACCGACCGGGTACTTGCAGGGGTAGGGCTTGTCGCCGGTGTGGGCGCGCGTGTGCTCGCGCAGGCGGCACGGCTGCCGGAAGACGCGGCCGCAGCCGGGCCAAGCGCACGCGAGCGCGCCGCGCACCCGCGCCCGCCCGTGCGCCCGCCCGTGCGCGCGCAGCCCCGACGCCCAGAAGAAGCGCCGCCCGCACTCCCCGCATCTGCCCGAACGCCCGCGCCGTGTTATCTACGCTTCATCGATCAGACTGACAATGCGACCAAGCATGGAGTATGACAGGTTCTATTGTAGTTTATGACATGGAATTCTACAGTAACTGAGAACTTTTATCGGCACTGAGTTGAAACAGAACGCTTTTAAAATAGCAGCGTTTGCTTTTAAATTATTATAGAACATTTTATCACTTTTTTTTCTTACATAATAATTTGTCATTTTATATATTTTAACCAATTTTCTTTGTGGGATCAGTGCGTGCGTGCGTGCTACTATGGGTTTTTCCAGATTTTCATTTTAATAAAAAGTTACTTTTTCATTTAAATTTGGAATTTAAAGATGTCTTCCAAATATTTATGTATAGTGAAAAACTGTGAGATGTGCTTTAAGCATACAAAAACATATCTTCAAGAGGAGAAAAAAATAAGAGAGACCTTGCACCTACCGATGATTAGTTTTTTCAGAGAAGACTGTTGCATGGCCTTACCACAGTTAAACGCAAAAACATATAAAGTAATTGCTTACCTACTGAAATTTATAAAACTTACGTACATATAATTGGCCTGATCCAAAGTGTGCTCTTCATTTAAATGCTTCAACAGGTCTTCTCTTGATATAAATATTCTTCCGCATGGTTCCTCAACATCAGAATGGAGAGCTTTGATTGGACATTCCACTGTAGTTTGCCGGGGTGGTCTGCTACCCCCTTCTTTATTATGACTAGTTTGGTGTTTTTTTAACTTTTGCTTATTTGTGAACTCCTTATTACAATTTGCTATGTCACACTGCAATAAAAATTTAACATTTCAATTTGAAAGTTACTAAGTATTAGCCACGAAAGGAAATTTAAAGTGCATAAACACATACAACATAACTTTGATTAAAATATAGTTCAAATTGCATATAAGGATTTTATTGCATATTATTATAATGAAATTTGGTATACCTGGACAAAAGTAATGCTATTATATAGTATAACTTTTGCTGGCATTTCTAGTGCATTGTAAATTTGAAATCCACCTCCCATACAAACATAACGGAAAGAAATTTAGTGAATTTAAACAGTATTTCAAAGGATTTGGTGACAATGTTTATAAATAACTCTAGACATAAAAACTAGCAAAGAAGGATTTATGATGAACACAATACCTTAAATTTTGCTGGATTATCAGAGAGATCATCAAATGCTTTATTTTGTGCACTGGTGCTGTTGGGCACCACTTCACCTTGAACTATCACATTTTTCTTCTGGATAGAGGAAACAAGTGACAATGGAACCATAGTTGTTACCACATCCAATTTCTGTTCCAAAAACATGTTACCATCTTGAGATCCATTATCTAAAAAAGAAATTGTAAACAAATTATACCAAACCTCAAAGTTTTGAATACTATACCTACTATTTTGGACTGTAAAGTTTACTCACAGTGTTCCTTGATTACTTTGTCTTGCATTATGTCTAAGCACCATTTTGTACTTTCATATTTATCAACAGATTCCAACTGTAGTTCAGAACCATCAAACGTAAGGGAGGGCTGTAACAAAAAAAACTAATAAATTTTTGAAACATTTTATTACAGTTGTTGTAATTATGATAATTTTAATATAATACCTTTCCCCAAAACCAATATGAACAAAACTTGCCCAGTCTACTGGACTCTAGAAATAGCAGTTAATACACAGTATAAATTAAAAAATATTTTGAATCATAAAATTGTCAAAACATTAGATTAAAATTGTATTTGTTATTGTGTGTTATTTGGCCAAAACATACACATGTTATTTCATCTTATAGACTTTTATTGTTTTTGACTCACCTGAGTAACTGAGCTTCCAACTAAGAAAGACTCCACATTAACACCATTCTGGATGTAGTTGTCTGGATTATCTAAAGGTGACATTATATTTTTTTCCAATTATGTATTAAGGAATAAAGACTTTTAATACTTATTAAAACTGATATAAGCATTTACATGAAAATTTTTATTTAAATAATAAATAATTAAATTAAATAAATAAATAAACAGCATCAAAAAAGTGGCAAATGTAAATAACTTTAACTCAGGCGTAATTCAAATACGGCCTCTACGGGCGCTCAGCCGTTAAGTTATGTCTTGAACTTACACCAATGTGCAAGATAAATAATGGCGTAACCTAAATAAATATTTTTAAAAAATAAATAAATATTATTAAATAAATATTTTAAACCTAAATAATTTTTTTTTTTTATTTTAAATAAATATTTCGGACACATTTTTTAGGCAACATTCACTAGTCCCAAACTAAGCAACGCTTGTACTATGGGTACTAGAAAGCTGATAAACACACTTAAACATACTTTTTCTTTTGTAAATAAATACATATTACACATATATAAACACCCAGACACTGGAAAAACACTGTGTTCATCACACAATATTTTTCCAGTAGTGGGGATTGAACCCACACCCCCTGGCGCAAGAGGCAGGGTCACTACTCCCCACGCCAATTGGGTCGTCAATAATCTATCAGCACTAAGTCATGTTTGCACTTCTTCATAAGATTCTTGAAATCTAATCGTACTCATTCTTTTTCTTGTTTTGGTGTACTGTGACAGATTTGTCTTTCTTCGAGGCATTTAGTAATAAATTCCAAAAGGTCGTTATCTAATCTAATATTTTTTTAACGAAAATGCAGTTGTTTAGAAAATACTAAAAAGCAATATCTTAATTACAAAAAAAGTCAAACACCATTTTTATGAGACAGTCACGAGTAAACAACAATTTCTGAAACCCACAGCAAAATCAGTATATCCGAATAACCTAGCCTAGCCAAATCAATTATCTCCTACGCAAAGAAGCGAGAGGCGAAAAGCGAGGCTACTAAAAAAAATCCCACTAATTTGCTGCCCCCTAAATTTTGCAGCTTTAGGCTCAATTTAGGGGGCGGCAAATTAGTGGGATTACAGGACATTTTGTATGAAAGGTACTTTTTGTATTGCAAACTGTCATTGGAAAAAATTGAAAACTGGGCAAATCGATCCAGTTGTTTATAATCTATATTACTTTATATAAACATTATAAACAGTTCGCTCAAATATAAACTACTACCAGTGGTTACTACCAGTAGTTTATATTTGAGTTAACTTTTTGCGATCAAATGAACTTGAATATACTGACACAAAAAGAGTTGTAGGCTATATGTTAGTTTGAAATGATTTTAATTTGTTTGAATTTTCAATAAAATTACAGCAGTATCATACTTTCATTTAATTATGGATAATAAGACACACCCATTTTGATAGTACATTTCTGTTTAGAAACTTTGTTTCAGTAAATTAAAAGCAATCAAGATGGTGATTACGTCTGCAGTAGTTCTTTTTTTTACATATTGGCTACCCATACATTGTCTATGCTTGAAAACCAAACACACAATCGGGGATTTCCAAAAATAGTGAATATATTTAGTTACTCCTCCCCCTTATAAATAATTGTAATAAATGTACTTATGTAATACTTGAATGGCCCTCTACTAAAATATCTTTGAAAAATATTTTTTGTGAATAACATACAATAAAATATAACAATTGCAGAATTAGGATATTAAAAATATAAGTTATTTTAACTGGTAGAATGAATTTAAAAAAAATTATATGTTACTAACTGACCTTTCAAACGTTGTTTTGTCATATAAATATAGCAGGCCTGCTTGTATGTAAACTAGAAAATGTTATCATAATATTTCTCTATAGAAGTTTTTGAAGTTATACCTTTATTAGCACTTATGTGAAAACAATGAGAGTGAATTTTACAATGTGCAACACAAAAGAGACACCAACTGGGCAACTAATAACCACTTTTTGACTTTTTATCTATAATTCAAAGTTATTTAATTAAACCATTATCAACTGTATTTAACATCTTTTTTCACAAACAGTGTACTACTACACAGAATAAGATTTTTAGTTATTTTTTCTCTAAGTTTCAATGTTGTAGTTTTAACTGTTCTGTTACAATCATATGTATTCATATAGTCTTAATAGTATTTTACTAGACTAGCTGCTGACTGCGACTATGTCTGCGTAGAATAGGCTGAAGGTGTAACATTCAGACAGAAAGACATATATACATAAAAATATGTATATATTAGCTATATATATTATAGCCTATGACTTATTCTGATGTATAAGCTATATTATAGTAAAGTTTCATTTGAATATAATCAGTAGTATTTGTGTGAAACAAACATCCATCCATACATACAAACTTTCACATTTTATAATATTAGTAAGGATATTGTAATCCTAATGTTTTTATTACCTGTCTAATGTACTCCACATTAGAAGGGTAACAAAAACATTATTATCAGTTATAACAATTATGATACAAATAATTACTTACCCTTAGTTTTTGGTGTGATTACCGCAAATGTTATATCATTTCCATTTGCTTTTTTGGCTATCCCCTTGGAGCTGTGTAAAACATTCTCTTCAGAAATCTTAGCACTTGATATTAGTTTTTGTGGTGGCTTGTTAATTATTTGATTTGGCGTGTCTATTCTTTGTTTAAAGACTACTTGTTTTGTCAGTCTATGCTGTGTATCATTTACATTTATTGATTCATTTTCAAAAGCAGTGGTGACAAGAGAGTGAATATCAGGAGATTCATAAGATTCAACCGTTACTTTAGGTCTTTGCACAGCAACTTTTACTTTTCTTCGAAGAATATTAGGCTTCTGAAACTTTTTCTTAGCGCTATTTTTGTCATTGGAAACAAACATTTTTCCGTTTAAATCATTCTAACGAGTAAAATACAATGAAAACTTTATCTGCAAAAAAATATAATTAACAAAGATATAGCGTATGATCGAAAGTAAAAAAAAACCCTTCGTTTACAATTTAACATGAAACAAATTCTTGTTTTCTCTTAAATAAAACGAACTACTAAAATAATAAAGGAATGCGTAACATAGTAACAATTTTACCTGTAGACCTTTAAATTCGAAGTCTCCAATTCCATACATTAAAATTAAAACAGTCAAAGAAAAAATTTTGTTCACGATATGATGACATATTTTAATATAACAAATTCACAAACTACATTTGATAAAAATCTGAGATTTACTTGGAGGAACCACTACCATGTATTATAGATTTACATTTAGAGTTTAAATTAAAAAAAGTATAAACTAAACTGATCATCTTATCATAGAGCCCTCAACACTTATTGTCAGTGTGTATCATAGATAAGACATATATACTGAAATATCGTGTGTATAATCTATGGCATAAAGTAATAATATAATTACTACATACAACACAGAAAAGTGAAACTCCTGCTAGAGGAGCCCATTCATCCATTCAATATCCTGCCTGGCAGAATAGTGAATGAACATCTAACATAAATATCTGAACATCTTACATAATATAATGTAAATCTAATAAACGTTGATTTCGTTTCAAACGTTTTTGGTGAATTCGACTAACATCACCCTGCACGATACAATCCAGGAGACCCTCAGATGGAGGTTTAAACCTCGGTACCTCGGTACTGGAAGTAATAAGATTGAAATCGCATTAATCACGAGACACACGTTACGTTAATATACGAAAAACAATAAATGTACAATAGCAATTAATTAACGAGAATTAATCTTTTACGAGAACAACAGTGATGTGATTTTCATACAAATATTGTTTTTATTTCCATAGTTACATGCAGTTACATGTTTTTTTTTTTAGAATACTTACTTTATTCTTAGATTATCGATCTGAATTTTTAAGTATAATTAAACATGGTTTTGATATTCATCCAAACGACATTTTGAAGTATCGATAATTATTGAGTGAAAAATATCGATAAATCGTCAGTTTTCGCATGATTACGGTATTCATACATATTTACAAACTAAAACAATTTAAAATTCGTAAAAAGAATAGACATGAAGATGTTAAGTTGAAAAGATTGTTTAAAATTAACGATGCGCGAGGAGCATGCAAAGAGTACGTAGTAGAACATCAAACACGAACCCAAACGTCATTCCGCTTCGTGCTCTCGTACGGAACGGACCTCTCTCTAAGACGGACGGCCAATACCACCCGAATTAGACGCTACTCGCAACTTCGGTTGCAATTTAAATCTTTGTGCAAGCAGGTGCAGTAGTTTATTGTTAGTGTAGTGTTGTGCTCGTAGGCAGGTTCCTGTTCTGTAAGTAGAATTGTATACGCCTCAGAGGCGGCATTGTTTTATTTAATAACTGTGTGCTCGTTGTGATAGGCGACAGCTAGGTACCCACCCTAGCGCACCTAAAGCGCAGGCGGATTAGTTGTTAGTTTTAGGCACATACCTCCCTGCCGCAAAGTGGGGAGGCCTATTTAGTAACTTACACGCCGGCGGGGCGCAAGCCCGTAAGGCTCAAGCGCTCGAAATAGGTTCCCTCCTAGAGGAATTCCTTCGTCAACGATGTCCCGAAGTGTGGGCAAACTTTCTCGCGTTCGCGAAAGAAAAATGTTTAATCGTCGAGTATGCCAGCGACAGCCCGGCTTCACCGGCAGTCGCCTCGCCGTCATCTCCGACGCCCTAAGCGCCCGCTAATGCGTCGCCTTCAGCGACACAAGAAATGCCCGTCGCGTCGACCTCCGCCGCCGCGATCGTACCCATCGCGCCTTCCGCGCATCCCATCTCGGCCCCCTTCCGCGCCATCGTTCCCGACTCACAATCGGACGGCGGATCGGACATGGAGGTCGAAACGACCCCCGCTGAAAACGCGAACGTCGACGGCTTCACCGTCGTAAAGTCGCGTAAGAAGGGCAAAAAACGCCCCTGCGATTGGTTCCGCAAATAGAGAATAGAAATAAATCCCGAAAAGAGTGTGGCGATTCACTTCACACGAAGTCTTTATAATGGCCCTCGTCAATGCAGAAAGTTGGGGCAAATATCCCTTTATGGCCAACCGCTCCCCTGGGAGAAAAAGGTCAAATACTTAGGAGTCACTTTCGACTCGCGTATGTCATTTACTACGCACATTAATAATGTTTGCAATTGAGCCGCATTCGTCTCCGGCCGGCTACACAATTTAACTAACGCTAAAAGTAAAATGCCCTTAAGGCACAAATTATTATTATATAAGACCTGCGTATGACCTATTATGTCTTACGCATGTATGACCTTCGCCCACACGCACCCTACTCGCTTGTACAAGTTGCAAATAGTACAAAACAAGTTCATCCGCCGCGCAACCGGTGCGCAGTGGTATCAACGCAACGTCGACCTGCACAGCGATTGCAGACCCCCGACGATTCGCGAATATTTTAAAGACCTGACCAAACGGTTCTTCGATAGAGCCGAACATCATCCCAACCCTCTGGTGGTGAGCGCAGCAAATTACCCACCCGACACAAACGCGAACGTCAACAAGCGTCGCCCGCGAAACGTCCTCATCGACCCGGTCGAGGAAGGGGACTTAGACACGCCGGACTCACCGCCGGAGGTCCCGCCGGACAACACTACACCCACAGTTAGTGTAACAACAAACACACTAGTTCGCCCTCGCCTCCGAGCACGGCGAGACCAACACAACGCGTACACAAGGTACACCCGCGTTCCGGGGCGGTTCTCACCGCCCCCAGCCACCGATTAGCTAAATGCACAGTCGACGGCCATCGGGGTTTCGGTCCGAACCACGACCTCGATGGCCCTTAGATGACACACCATAGTTAAACGCACGCATGATCACATGCGTGGCCCTACCCACAGCGGAGGGCCCAAACCCGTGGGTTCTGGCTAGTCCACCGGTTCTGCGTCAGATGAAGCTTTAATAGTCTCGGGACTGAAAGCAAAAACATCAGCTAATACAAGATACAAGATACAAGAACCCAAACCGTAGGGATGCCGAAAGTCAAGAACATTAGTGAGAGTGCTACTGTTCTGTGGTCAAGAAATATATCGATATTTATAAAAATATCAATATCGACTTCGATATATCAATAAATTTTTGATTTTAAAAAAAATTATGTAGTTAGTTCAATCTGATTCAATAATAAGTAATAGTAATTTTTATACCAAATTTACATTATTTTAATGTGTGAGATATTTATAAATGTTATTATGGTGGGATATTCATTTGTTTTCTCGTCTGGTTGGGTTTATAAATAAAAAATAAGCATATAGATATATTTTGCATATATAATATAAATATTATGTTAATAATAATAGTATTCTAATATATACTAATATATATAAGATATAATAGACAAACATAAAACTAAAAATATACTGTACAATAGCTTACAAAAATATATACAGGGAGAGAAAAATATAAAATAAATATACAAAATACAAATGTTGTCAGTGACAATCAGTGCCGACATGGTAAGATTTACCCACGGTAGCTAACTGGGATGGATGGTGGTGAGAGTCACCGTTTAGGTATCTATTTGTATGGGTTGCCTTCCTATACACAGTGTGACTTATATTGTTATTTGGATTGCGGATGACCAAAACATCAAAGAAAGCTAAAGAGTTATTATTCTCTAATTCCATAGTGAATTGTATTTTGGAATTTACTGAGTTAAGGTGATTTAAAAATGCATTAACTTTACTTGTTGGTAAAATGGTAAACGAACCACCATCTCTCACCCAAACTCTCACCACCATCCATCCCAGTTAGCTACCGTGGGTAAATCTTTGTTTCAGAGAGCACAAGGGATCTGTGACAAACAACACCTGGCCGCTGAGCTTCAACATGTCAAGCAAGTTCTGCATGACAACAAACTTCGAGCACCGCGCCTACGTCACAGTGACCGAGTGAAACCAGCCACAGTGGAGCGAGTACCTGCTGTTCTACCATATGTCAGAGGAGTCACCGACAAGATTGGCTATATCTTAAAGCGGGCTTCAATTAATACATTCTACAAGCCGCTGAAAAAGATTAGTCAGTTTTTACTATCTGTCAAGTGTAATATCCCTCTGCAAGATCCAGGAGTGTACAAACTTGACTGTGAATGTGGGCTCTCTTACATAGGACAAACCAAAAGAGCTATAAAACCCGCGTGAAAGAACATATAGCTGACATAAAACATAGTAGATTAAACAAGTCTGCAGTTTGTGAGCACACTCTAAATCGGCCCAACCACTACATCAGGTTTGATAGACCACAGATCCTTGCAAAAGAACACCGATTCCTCCCACGGATGATTCGCGAGGCTATTGAAATTAAAAAACACCCTAATTTCAATAGAGAAGAGGGTTGGGTACTACCATCAGCTTGGGATCCTATCATTAAAATTAAATCTAAGCTCAAAAGAACCACTACTGCAAGACAAGATACAATTAGCTCCCTCTGCATAGATCGGACACAAAATCAATAATACAAAAACTGACGGTAGCCCGGGATAACTTTGACAATCAGACGTCTAACACCTCAGTCTGTCCCGTGACCATGAACGCTGTAAAGGGTTCTAAACGTCGGGAACTTAAATTAAAAATAAACGTTAAAAATAAACGCGATAAATCCGTAAAATTAGTTTCATTTATTGACAATCTAGTTACTTATGAAAACTCGTTATTACTATTATATGACATTTAACTATTGAGAATTTGATTATATAAATGAAACTAATTTTACGGATTTATCGCGTTTATTTTTAATTTTAATTTAATTCCCGACGTTTCGAACCCTTTACAGCGTTCATGGTCACGGGACAGACTGAGGTGTTAGACGTCTGATTGTCATAGTTAACCCGGGCTACCGTCAGTTTTTGAATTATTAATTTTGTGTCCGATCTATGCAGAGGGAGCTAATTGTATCTTGTCTTGCAGTAGTGGTTCGTTTGGGCCTAGATTTAATTTTATTGATGACAGGATCCCAAGCTGATGGTAGTACCCAACCTTCTTCTCTATTGAAATTAGGGTGTTTTTTAATTTCAATAGCCTCGCGAATCATCCTTGGGAGGAATCGGTGTTCTTTTGCAAGGATCTGTGGTTTGTCAAACCTGATGTAGTGGTTGGGTCTATTCAAAATGTGCTCACAAACTGCAGACTTGTTTAATCTATTGTGTTTGATGTCAGCTATATGTTCTTTCACGCGGGTTTTTATTGCTCTTTTCGTTTGACCTATGTAAGAGAGCCCACATTCACAGTCAAGTTTGTACACTCCTGGATCTTGCAGAGGGATATTACACTTGACAGATGGTAAAAACTGACTAATCTTCTTCAGCGGCTTGTAGAATGTATTAATTGAAGCCTGCTTTAAGATATAGCCAATCTTGTCGGTGACTCCTCTGACGTATGGTAGAACAGCAGGTACTCGCTCCACTGTGGCTGGTTTCACTCGGTCACTGTGACGTAGGCGCGGTGCTCGAAGCTTGTTGTCATGCAGAACTTGCTTGACATGTTGAAGCTCAGCGGCCAGGTGTTGTTTGTCACAGATCCCTTGTGCTCTCTGAAACAAAGATTTACCCACGGTAGCTAACTGGGATGGATGGTGGTGAGAATCACCGTTTAGGTATCTATTTGTATGGGTTGCCTTCCTATACACAGTGTGACTTACAGTGTTATTTGGATTGCGGATGACCAAAACATCTAAGAAAGCTAAAGAGTTATTATGCTCTAATTCCATAGTGAATTGTATTTTGGAATTTACTGAGTTAAGGTGGTTTAGAAATGCATTAACTTTACTTGTTGGTAAAATGGTGAAGGTGTCATCTACATACCTCTTGTAAAACCTTGGACAAATGGGAGCTGTGCGAAGGGCCTTCTCCTCAAAGTCTTCCATAAATATGTCAGCGACAATGGGAGATACTGGGCAGCCCATTGCTACACCATCTATCTGTATGTAAAATTCCTCCTTCCAAAGCAAGTAGCCGGATGTTAGGCAATGTTTAAGTAGTAATGCATACTCTTCCGGCATGTTATTCTCTTTTAGCTTTCTTGTTACAATTGAGATGCAGTCTTCTAATGGTAGGCATGTAAATAAAGACTGTACATCAAAACTGACCATTGTTTCATTGTCAGCAAGACATAGTTGTTTTATCTCACTAACAAAATGGTAAGAATCCTTTGTGTATGCCCTTGTGTGTCCTCTCAGTGGTGAGAGAATTCGTACTAGATGTTGAGCCAGTCTGTAAGTTGGTGAGTCGATCTGGCTTACAATAGGGCGTAATGGTATGTCTGGTTTGTGTATTTTAGGCAACCCATACAATTTTGGGGGTTTAGCACATGAAGGTGTCATCGATTTCACGTCTAGATTTAATTTTTCGGAGTATTTTTTAATGAGATCGCTAGTTAATTTAAGCGTTTTAGTGGTTGGGTTTGTTTTGACCTTTTTATACGTGCTTACATCCGACAACAGTTCTTGTATTTTTAAATTATAATCCGACGTTTTCATAACCACCGTAGCATTTCCTTTATCTGCGCGGAGAACAGTTAAATCTTTGTTGTTGCGTAAGCTGTTTAACGCGTTAAATTCATCTTTAGGGAGGTTAGACTTCGGTACCGAACTTCGACGTAATAAGGACGAAATATCTTGTCGTATACCTTCTAAATCTTCCTTACCGATGTTATTTTTATATAAACAGTCCTCGACACTACAGATTATTTCTTCGTACGGGATTTTTCGCGGCGTTATTGCGAAATTTAAACCTTTCGAACGTCGGGAATTAAAATTAAAAATAAACGCGATAAATCCGTAAAATTAGTTTCATTTATAATGTGTTATCGCGTAAATACAAGAAATTTGATTATAATTAAATTTTGTTCACTTTATTTACATATAAAATTAAAGTAACTTTAGTTGATGCCATTAATATTCTGTTATTTATAAATGAGCTTAACATGTTGTTCAATATTAATAATTTATAACATAGATAGTGTAAAGTACGAAGCGAAATTGAAAATTGAAATTGTAGTCTAGATACCATAATTATAATACAAAATGCTATACTGCATCCGCGATAATACTAGTCAAAGGCAACAGTATTTATCAGTTAATTTTTATCTTATACGGCTTGGAATCAGTTAATATTCAGCTGAAATAAATTAGAATAAAAATATCGTTTTTGATCAGATTTCGATATTCAATTTTTTATATCGATATATAGGATCATAATATATCGATATATTTTTTAAAAAAATATCGATATATCGATATATCAATATTTTTTCGTCATCCCTAGGGCAGTAGGGCCCATGCGTATACTGAAAGATTGAAACTGTAATTGAGTTTTTTAATTTTTAGGTTATATGTCAGGTTTTTTGTGTAATCGTATTTTTAATTACAAATTTTCTAAAGCGAATATTAATGGAATTAAAAGAATTGCTCGATGATACAAGTGATGACGATATTAATGAACCAGCATGTTTCGAAAAAATTTTAATAATGTTAGATCGTATTAACACGGAAGATGAAGAATTTATGCAGGTACAATTAGTTGTTGTTTGTTATTTTGGCTTAATTTCGTGATTTGTATAAAAGTATTCTTCTTCTCACATGTAGTTATTGGTGGATAAACTTGATCGAATGGTTGTAACCTGGCAGCAACCGTGGTATCAACAGTCTAATAGGCTATCGCGGCCTTTTACGGAGACTAATGATGAAACCTCAGATGATTATCGCAAGTATCCTATCACTAAGAAAGAAAGTGATCGAATAGCGAAAAGGTGGAAAAAATTTTGTAAGGTTAGTAAACTGTTCAGCTATTAAGAATGTCATGTCAATAAATATGTATATAAATAATATTTCCTTTATATCTAATGTAGGAGTTTGATGTCCCAGATAAGCTATTGTCATTTGCAAGATGGAAAAACAAATATAAATGCAAAAGCCCTAATACACCAGAGGAAAGTGTAAGGCGTTTTGTGACTGCATATTTAGCTAGAGGTCTTAAAAGAAATATGCACCAGGTTTATAAGCATATTATGACACATTTTGGTAATCCAGTCAAAGGACCATACTCACCAGAAGAGGAAAAGTTAATGGATATATGTTTCCACTATAAACCTAAGTATGCAGTTTTATATTTGTCTCTTTTGCTAGGTAGAGAACCTAGAGGAATATATAAACGCCTACAGCAAAAGTTTACAGGTAAATAGATATTTCTGTACTTTTTGCCAAATTCTATCTTCAATGGTTCATTATTAGAAAAAAATTTCTTAATTATACAAAAAATTTTGATGCGAACATATCATGTTTTTTTAGTATCATTATATTATTACACACCAGAATACACCTTTATTATTACATTTTAAATATATCTATAATGAATGAATCTTCAGATGAATGAATCTTTAAATTGATAACACAATAATCATTAATTTATGATAATTTAAGATTGATTTTAAGTGCTGAATTATCACATGCTCTGTGGTGAAGGAAAACATCGTGAGGAAACTGCATATTTTCGAAATAATAACAAAAAAAATATTTCGGAGATATGTGAAGTCTGCCCATCCGCAGTTGGGCCGCGTGGTGGACTATTCCCTGATACGCTCTGTACGGAGGAGGCTTTTGCCCAACAGTGAGACAAGGATAGGCTGATACTTTACTTTAACTTTTAAGGTAAGCTGGAGAAGAAGAGACTAAAATGGACATTATCATTAGCAACAAAATTTTTTAATCTGCTATTGCAATATTCAGAGTGTTCTGTAGAAGAATTGAAATACAGAAAATTTGAAAAGTCAGTTTGGCTTAAATTAGAAAAAGAATTAGATCAACATTATGCATATTTACAACATTTTTGGTATGATGCCCTACATGTTCAAATTTTTGTGAAAAAAGACGTAAAAATAAACAAGATAAGAAAAAAGGTGTTTAAAATGTAAGTTATATGATGTGATTACCTCTAATTGTAAGAACAGTTATGTAGATTCTAAGCATTTTATTTTTAGATTGTAGATGCTGTATCTTATGTTGGTAATCCTATGAATAAATAAATAAATAAATATTACATCTTTTAAAATTAAATAATATCAAAAGTCTTATGGTCAAAAGATTTATATTCAAATAAATTAATGAGTTTTGTTTTTCATATTAAAATGTTTTATGTTCAATTTTCAGACTAAAGAATACTCGTTATCAAGTATGGAGAGACATTCGATGGAAAGAGCTGCTAGAATTTTTCCCAGATGGTTTCACGCACACATTTTTGTACAAGTTATGCATTAATTTGTTCAGAGGCAACAGAATTTATGCAACACGTCCCCTACCAGAAGTTATAGATTTTGCTTTAAACAAAATAAAAACAATCCGGGGTAATAAAAGGTTAAGAAATTTAATATACAAGGATGGTACACTTAATGTTATAAGTTATAAAGTGAAAGAAAAACAATGATTTTTGAATTCACTATTCAGTATCTTGTTTTGGAAAAGCCATATTCTACGAGAAAATTAAATCTTAATGGGTTGACGTTGAAAATTGTAATCATAAATATAAGAATTTACTGAATAAAAATTCATAGAAATAAACCTAATCATATTTGTGTCCCTGTGAGGGTAAACATAATACTGAACTTTAAATACAATTAATTTTTGATGTTCATTAAGAGCTTGAAATAAGCCTATGTTGAATAAAGAAATTTTGACTGTGATAAGTTCTCCCTGATATTAATGAACTAGGCTCCTATGAAAGTTATGAAGAAGAGGCACAGACCTGGGCTGTGAAAAGAAGTAAGCTTTGCCAGCTTAGGAGTGAAAAAAGTAATTTTTGATTAGTAACTCAAAAAAGAGAGGAGTCCTGAAACAAGTTCTTTCTCTTAGTAAAAGTGGTCACTATTACCTAAACAACCATTATCACATGATGATTTAGTATGAAATTTATTAAGATATGTTATATATGGAGTTATACCTGGAGATTGAGGTCAACGGAGAAATAGCAACCCAAACCTTTTAAGTTTTTTTAAAATACTTCCAATTACTATATGTTATACGTTAATTACTATATTTATACTACAGATATGTTGTTAACAAGTGAAGCCATGAAAACTTCCTAATTGGAAAGTCTTGTCTTTAATTCACGTTAGGCAAGTCGACGAGTAACATACAAATGCCGTCGTCTATAAGATGTACCAACTATATCACACGTAAGTATGCAATATATCTTCAATTTATTAGTATATTTCAATTATTTTCCTAGTAATTTAATTTGTTGAGGTTAGAAAACAAAAAGAGTCAGTAAATAAATTTAATATGGGATATGGTGAAGAGAAAGAAGGATGCACTCCGATTAGACAAGTACAGATGCAAATATAGGCAGTAAAGTCAATGTTACTCCACAGTTCAGTTTTCCTTTTTTATGCCTATTAATTAGTTATAGGTATGTACATGTTTTATGTATTAATTAGTATATGCTTTAAATTAATAGAAAAATTACTGATGCTAAAATAAATATTTTTTACTTTTTTATAGTATTTTATTTATTATATTTATGAAGACTATAAAAGGTAGGATCTCTTAAATAAAAAATTCGGCTTATACTGTCTGTTTCTGCTAATTTGTTAGTTTATGCCAATCGTCCCATGATTTTCCTGAGTGTGACATGCTGTCCTCCTTGTTCTTATTGCTTTAATTACACTTTCTTACATATTTTTTACACCATTAAACATTTGTAAGAAAGTTATGATACATTTCCTCACAATGATTTCTTTCATTGCTGAGCACATGATAAGTCAGCACTTAAAATTAACAATTTCATTGTGATTTGAACTCAGGTTGCTCGAATATACTGAAAGTGATCATCCAGCCACTGAACTATCACCGCCAAAGGAGAACTGGCAACCCAAACCTTTTAAGTTCTTTACATATTTCTGTTTGAAATAAATTCTGATTAATCTTTAAAACAATTGAGGAAATTATAATTATATTTTATATTATAAAATTAATAATTATATTTTTTGGAACCTGGCAGAAACTTATTCGTCTATAAGTAATTATTTATTTATTTACAAAACCTTATACGTTCGTTATAGCCGACCATCTACATCACCTTTTAAAAATGTGGGCCAAGATTACCCAAATTCACACCAGATGAAACCCAAATTTCGTCAGTTCAACACCCTTTTTCAGTGCTCATGGAGAGGTAACACAAAATATTAACATTTTATTCAAATTACGGACATTTGTGCACATTTTCAACCAACATCAAAAAAGGGGAAGCTTCTCATTTCTATTGTTCTTTTATGTTGGATTGTCTTATGTTACATTTCAGTCTGTAATCAAATCAAATCAAATCTGTAAAGGCCTGGGGCCAACAGTGGAAAAAAAAAAGTGTAAACACACAGCGCCTGGTGAATGATGGTGCAGTGTCGGACACTGACCCTCAATCGTCACGTATTTGCAGCGATGCGTATTTAGTTAGACGACAAATAAGAAAACTAAAATATTTACTAGTACCCCTGTGCAACGTGTGTATATGCCTGTTTGATCTTTGCCTAATTAATTACGATACTTTTTATTTCCATAAATTAATTGTTTCCTCAAAGTGTTTTCTTTAAATAGAAAATCTTGTTTTTTGGAAATAAAAAAAATTAAAAATAAAGAGAATGATCTGGTATAGAAAAAAAAGTAAAAAAAAAAAGTGTGTAAATGATCGTGATACAAACCGTGACTGTCTGTTTTGGGGCCGCCCGATTACCGACCCAGCTATTATAACATTTTTTTTTTGCGGCGAAATTTACTGTCATATTCTAATTATATTTTTCATTCCCTGAAAACAGGGATCAAAGGACATTTTCTACAAATGAAACCTATCTAGATCGATGTTTCGCCCCCGAATCTACGCACATACTAAATTTCATGAAAATCTCTGGAGCCGTCTCCGAGATTCCGATTTTATATATATATACAGCGTGTCGTTACCATCGCGACAATAAATGAACACACATATAGGGGATAACTTTTTAAAGTTGTATTAAACATTTAAATTCTTTAAACATCAATATTTACAGAGTTATTAAATTTTCCAAAACAAAGAATTTTAGAACACCCTCGCGTATAAAACGCGTAACGTAAAGTTCATTTGTAAAGGTCACAAAGCATATGAATGGGTTGAATGAATTTAAAAGAGACAAAACATACTGTTAGAAGGAGAGGCTTGTAATGCGACGCTGTGGCGCGAGTTGTATAGGTGTTACAAATTTTGTCTATTTATTACTTAATTAATTTGTTTGAAAAATATTTTTTTTATTTATGGATTTTGTTTAATTTTAATATTTTTTTATGATTATTGGCACGTAGCGTTAGACGTGTTTTCATTTATTGCCGCGATGGTAACGACACGCTGTATATACACAAGAATTGCTCGTTTAAAGGATAAGATATGATAACATGATACTCAAGTGAGAACTGAGAACAAATGAGACTGAGAAATATAATGCTCTCTAACTAAATTCTTGAAGATTGCAATAGATTACTCCTCACGCATAACTAAAGGCACTGATTCCAGAGTTTAATAGCCTGTGTGTTAAAAGATTTTCCAAAAAATGTTTTGTAATTTGGCACCTTTAAAATGACCTTCCTCGAAGAACTAAGATCTTCCCCTGGAAAACTCAAATCTCCTTTAAATATGGTGGAATAAAACCATGAAACAAGACACAGTACAAAACAGAAAGGATATGCAAATTCCGGCGAAATCGGATAGGTAACCATTTGAGACGTTTACAAAATTAAGAAACATGTCATATTTACGCAACCCAAATATGAACCGAATGTTAGTATTTTTGAGTCTCTCAAGCTTATTTAATTGTTGTTCAATTATGTCTAGATAGCAGTCAGCATAATCGAGAATTGGGAGGAAAAGAGTCTGTGCAAGCATATTTTTCGTAGGAATGGGGAGAAATGATCCAAGGTGACGCATAGATCTAAGAGCTACATGATTTTATTTTATTAATGAAAGATTAAAGGGCAAAAAGTGTAAAAATAAACAATTTTTTTCAATAAATATGGTACGTATACCCAAGTGCATATTCCCATTTTTCTCCCTTGCGTCAAAAAAGGTTAACGAATTGAACAGTACACAATCTAATATGAAAACAATAGTGGTGCTTTTTTTAATACTATTGGGGCTATTATTTTTGCCACGTTTCTATCATATATAGTTAAAAATGTATTTAATAATGTCACTGTTCTAATCATCTTCTAAAATCAACAAACCGTAGTGTCTGCCGGTCTGTAGTGTTCTACTTTCAACGACTGGAGCGAATGCTATAATCAATGTATGGATATAATAGGGGTGTATGGCGAGATTTGTCTATTGTGTATACCACGGAAAACAGAAAGTTGTTGTTTTTCTGTTCCGTGTATTCCAGGCTCAAGCTTGGCAATGGCAACAAAACTAAAAATTAAGCACAGCAAACTTATGTCATGGGTGTCACTGTAAAGCAGTGTATAGTATCTGATAAGATATACGCCGTGGCTGGTGACAAGAGAGCTGGATCTTTTAGTGGCCCATTCACTATACTGCCTGGCAGTATAGCCGTGCAGGACTGTAAAGCAGGATGTAGCCCACACACTATCCTGCAAGCCGTCCATCATAGTGTCAGTGTTATTGTTCGTATTGTCAGCGTATCGAAAAAAAAAGAAGAAAATAGCGAATCTGCTATGTTTTTTTTGTTGTTAGATAAAAGTTTTTATTAATAAATAACCTTTCCTCACATTATCATACTAATATACATAAAATTTAAGTAATAATCTAAGCTTTTCTCAAGTTGAACTATTTCAATATAAAAAAGTTTTTTAGCTTAGTTTTAGTTATCACATCAGTCGGGCTTCCCGGGATGCACACGTTTTTTTTGTTCAAATTACAGTACCCAGACCTGTGTAGATTTTTTTCTAACATGTGTATAAAATTTAATTCCTAAAAATATTTCTAAAAAAATTCCCTGTTACATCATTTCTGTTGTAAATCTGTCCTGTGTAAATTTACGAAAAAAAAAATATCCTAATTTAGCATCCGTATTTTGCAAGCATCCCTTGCATCCTGCAAGGGTTCTGCAAGCTCCGCCCACCGCTTGCAGTCCGCCGCGCAGGAGAGTCAGTGGTTTGGCCGTCCTGCGAATCAGCAGTGCTGCCATATGAAGAAAAAATATGCACTAAGCCTTTAGCAAAATTACGCTATTTATACGAAAATATGGATGCTAACTTAGGAGTTCTTTTTTTGCAAATTTACACAGTAAATATTTTAAATAGAAATTGTTTAGGAGATTGTTTAGGATAGAAATTGTTAGGAGACGCAGGACTAGGTACTTTATTATAGACAAAAAGAAAACGTGTGTATCCCGGGACGCCCGACTGATTTGATAACCTTAAACTAAGCTCAAAAACTATTTTATATTGAAATAGTTTAACTTGATAAAAGCTTGTTATTACTTAAATTTTATGTATATTAGTATGATAATGTGAGGAAAGGGTATTTATTAATAAAACCTTTTATCTAACAACAAGAAAAACTCGCCATTTTCTTTTCTTTTTTCGAAACGACACGTAAATCCATAATTATTACAACAACAACACTGACACTATTGAGAGACGTTGGACGGCTTGCAGGATAGTGTGTGGGCTACATCTTTCTTTGCAGTCCTGCACGGCGGACTGCCAGGCAGGATAGTGAATGGGCCCCTTAAGCAGACTCAAGGTTAGGCAATGCAGGTAGCATGGTGCCAACCATGCCGCGTGGATTAGGTTTATTAGATAATATGTAATTAACATTAATAGAAAGAAAATTTAATTCATATTATAACAATCGATTACGATTTATTTGATTGTTTTTATTAAATAATCGTTAAAATCGATTATAAGAAAAATAATCGTTGATTGTGAAAATCGATTATTTTTCACATCCCTTTTTCGAACACGATAATCGTTATCCTTTTTAACAAAGTACTCTGTGATCGTTATTTCGTTTTGTGATTTCGTCCTCCTCCCAGTTGTTTATTTTATTTATTGTTGATGTTGTCATTTGAAGGTAAAATTTTC